TCCTCCTGCCTCAGCCTCCCAAGTGGCTGGGACTGTGCACATGAGACAGAGAGCTTAGCTCTAAGATACAGCTTTTAAAAAATGGAATGCAGTTTGTAACAGGATCAGAAATTCAGCGACCTAATCACAAGATCTAGTCTTAATGACCTTGGCTGGTCACATGACATTTGGACACTGGTGAGCCAAGGGTTAACAGGGACATGAGCAAGCAATGATCCCAGGAAGGAGACCAGGATTCTGGAGGATGGGGAATGACTGAACTCCGTTCATTTGATGGACACACAGTGACACCTTCGAATGGTTTCCTGGTTGTCAGACATAGGAAGGAGGAGACTTGTTCATTTTTGCTCGTGGGGTTTGAATACAACCAGTGGATGGAACAGTTGCTTTATTCTCTGTAGCTGCAGATTCCTCACTTATGGCATGATTACGTGATTGCTTGTCTGTAGAATGATCAGGGACCATGCTGATCACGGACTTTAAGGTCCCCTTTAGCCTGAAAGACTGGGACAGCAGATTTCAGTTCAACATGAAAAAGGATTTTTTAGCTGGGAGATCTGTCCAGCAGAGGAAATGTCTGCCCAGGAAGTAGTGAGCTTACGGCTGTTGGAGGTATTTAAGTAGAGCTCAATGCTGTTGATTAGGGATGCTGCAGAAGAGGAGGACAGGAATTAGGCCGACCACTAAAGTCTCTTCCAATTTCTGGGGTCAGTTATTTAATATGTGACTTGTCAAAGCAAAAAGACACATAGAATAGGGGCTTTACCTCCAGTGGCAAGTATTTGAGTCAATATAATCAAGTGTGTTCTTTAAAAAATGTTTATGAATAGGTCCCAGCATTTTTGAGAGACCCTTCTAGGATCATTTTAGAAAGGATGAAAAAAAACAAAATAAAAGGCTGGGCACAGTGGCTCAATGCCTGTAATCCCATCACTTTGGGAGGCTGAGGTGGGTGGATCACGAGGTCTGGAGTTCAAGACCAGCCTGGCCAACATAGCGAAACCTTGTCTCTACTAAAAATACAAAACTTAGCTTGGCATGTTAGCACATGCCTGTAGTCCCAGCTTCTTGGGAGGCTGAGAAAGGAGAATCAGTTGAACCCGGAAGGTGGAGGTGGTGGTGACCTGAGATCGTGCCACTCTGAAGTGCAGTGGCACAATCTCGGCTCACGACGACCTCCACCTCTCGGGTTCAAGAAGACTCTGAAGTGCAGTGGCATGATGTCTGCTCACCACAACCTCCATCTCCCGGGTTCAAGTGAGTCTCAGAAACAAAAACAAAACGAAAAATAGGCTGGGTGCATTGACTCATGCCTGTAATTTCAGCACTTTGGGAGACTGAGGTGGGGGGATTGCTTGAGCTCAGGAATTCAAGACTGACCTGGGCAACAGAGAGAGAACTTGTCTGTGCAGAAATGAGAAAAATTAGCCAAGCATGATGGTACACCTGCCATGGTCCCAGTTACTTAGGAGGCTGGGGTGGGAGGCTCACTTGGGCCTACGATTTTGAGGCCTGGGTGACAGAGTGAGACCTTGGCTCAAAAAAAGGAAACAAAGGATGAGGATAACTATTTTAAGCCAGGTCAGAACTTAGTTTGTGACCCCAGGGATGCTGAAAATTGAATTTAGTCCTTAGGAAAAGCAAGACAGTTTGGAGGGGAAATGGCCAGTAATAAAGAACCACACAGACTAACGTGTAGCAGAGTAGTGGGGTCATGCTGGGCGCGGCAGCTCACGCCTGTAATCCCAGCTTTGGGAGGCCGAGGTGGGTGCATCACTGGAGGCCAGGAGTTCGAGAACAGCCTGGCCAACATGGTGAAACTTAATCTCTACTGAAAATACAAAAATTAGCCAGGCGTAGTGGTGCATGCCTGTAATCCCAACTACGCGGGAGGCTGAGGCAGAAGGATCACTTGAACCCAGGAGGCGGAAGTTAAAGTGAGCCAAGATCATGCCACTGCACTCCAGCCTGAGTAACAGAGCGAGACTCGTCTCTCAAAAAAGAGAATAGTGGGGCCGGGCGCGGTGGCTCACGCCTGTAATCCCAACACTTTGGGAGGCCGAGGCGGGTGGATCACGAGGTCAAGAGATCGAGACCATCCTGGTCAACATGGTGAAACCCCGTCTCTACTAAAAATACAAAAAATTAGCTGGGCATGGTGGTACGTGCCTGTAATCCCAGCTACTCGGGAGGCTGAGGCAGGAGAATTGCCTGAGCCCAGGAGGCGGAGGTTGCGGTGAGCCGAGATCGCACCATTGCACTCCAGCCTGGGTAACAAGAGCAAAACTCCGTCTCAAAAAAAAAAAAAGAGAATAGGGGGATCATGCCACTTCTATCTGGAATGACGACTAAATCAAGAGGGGACCTTCAGTGTGTTCTGGGTCCTCTGCCTGGCTGTGGAGGACGTGGTGTGACCCTGAATGTCTCCTCCCGCTTCATGTCCGCACTGTGGATTCATATCCCCAGGAGCATCTTGCTCAACACCATCATGACGAGGGTGCTGAGACGGAGCCCTCTTGATTGCTCTGCAGTTTAGCATTAAAGAGAACGGGGTAGATCGATTGAAAGACATTTTTAACTGGGACTTTGCAGGAAAGCATATGTTTAGTTTATATCAGACAATACATTTGGAATTGGAATCAAATTTTTTTTTGAGACAGGATTTTACACTGCTGCCAGGCTGGAATGCAGTGGTGCAATCATGGTTCACTGCAGCCTTGACCCACCGGGATCAAGGGATCCTCCCACCTTAGCCTCCTAAAATGCTGGGATTATAGGCCTGAGCCACTGCTCTTGGCTTAACATTTAAAAATTTTTTGCATATGTATTACTTATAGCTTACATGTGGAAATTTTTTTAGTTTAATTCTGCTTAACTTTTTTTTTTTTTTTTTTGAGACGGAGTCTCGCTCTTGTTACCCAGGCTGGAGTGCAATGGCGTGATCTCAGCTCACCGCAACCTCCGCCTCCTGGGTTCAGGCAATTCTCCTGCCTCAGCCTCCTGAGTAGCTGGGATTACAGGCACGCGCCACCATGCCCAGCTAATTTTTTGTATTTTTAGTAGAGACGGGGTTTCACCATGTTGACCAGGATGGTCTCGATCTCTTGAACTCGTGATCCACCTGCCTCGGCCTCCCAAAGTGCTGGGATTACAGGCTTGAGCCACCGCGCCCGGCCGAATTCTGCTTACTTTTGCTGAAATATATGCTTTATTTAGAATCTGCCTTGATTATTTAAAACTTTTAGATTCCTCTTCCCGATATTGTTGGATTATTTTTATTGTTGTTTTTGCTGTAGTGTGGGGCACTGCTAGGGCCGAATCACTGAGCAGAGGTTCCTTAGCTCTGCAAAGAGAGTAGAGATTTAGCTCATCTTTGGACAGCATTGTAAGTTGATTTTTGTCTCCAAGTGATTTATGCTTGCATGGTGCCGTTTGAGAAATCAGTTATTTGGGAAGAAAGTGCTCTTTTTCTATGGGATGAAGCAATTTTGGGGTGCGCGGACTTAACAAATGGCAGTTTTGGATGTATGTGAAAAGCAGGCAGGACTTAGTTATTTAGAACTTGAGTTGAACATTTTTGTTCACTTAATGACAGGGCCAAAGTCGTCTTTGTCTCTCTATCATTTGTGCCTCACATGGTGTCTGTCACATCAACTGTGCTTGTCGAATTTCTGTGAATTGGTTCCCTGGGCTACATATGGTGGGTTTGGGGAAAAGTTAGGCTAACATACTTTTTGTTTTTGTTTTTGTTTTTATTTGAGACAGAGTCTCGCTCTGTTTTCCAGGCTGGAGTGCAGTGACACGATCTTGGCTCACTGCAACCTCTGTCTCCTGGTTTCAAGCAATTCTCCCTGCTTCAGCCTCCCAAGTAGCTGGGATTACAGGCATCCGCCACCATGCCTGGCTAATTTTTGTATTTTTTAGTAGTGACAGGGTTTGCCGTGATAGCCAGGCTGGTCTTGAACTCCTAACATCAGGTGATCCTCCCACCTCAGCCTCCCAAAGTGTGGGATTACAGTAGGCGTGAGCCCGGCTTTTTTTTTTTTTTTTTTTTAAAGAAAGTAAAATATGATAAGAAATCATAGTTCTCAGGTGCGCATTGTGGCTGACACCTGTAATTCAATCACATTGAGAGGCTGAGATGGGAGGATTGATTGAGCCCAGCAGATCAAGAGCAGCTTGGGCAACATGGTGAAACCCCCTCTTTATAAAAATATGAAAATGGGCCAGGTGTGGTGGCGTGCACCTGCAGTCACAGCTACTTGGGAGGCTGAGGGAGGAGGATCACCTGAACCTGGGGAGGTCAAGGCTGCAGTGAGCCATGCTGGTGCCACTCAACTCCAGCCTGGGCAACAGAGAGATACCCTATCTCAGAAAGAAATAAGAAAACCAAAACCCAGTTGTCAGCCTTTTTTGTCTTTTGAGTATCAGGAAGCCATATACAAGTCTCTTAGCAAAAACAACCGCACTCAGTGGCTGCTTTTCAGCGTGCCAGAGGAATTGAAAACTCCCTCTCTTCTTTCTATTTTTCTTCTTCTGAAAATGAATTGTTCTTGGTGTGCTGTTCTTAAATTCATGTGTCCTGCGTCCATTTTTAATCTTGTTATCTATTTTTATGGTGACTGTCGCCATGGTACTCATGCTCCTTGCATAGCACAACAGAGATTTCCGACGTCTGATAGGACAGCTCAGAGTTCTGCTGCAGCCCAGAGAGAAACTGTTTGAGTAGTTATTTTTTTAATTGAGGTGTAATTTACATACAGCACAGATCTTAAGTGTGCTGTTTAATCAGTTTTGACACATGCATATGGAGACAGAACACTTTCATCACCCCAGATGAGTTCCTCGTGACCATTTCCAGATAAGCCCCACCCCCAACCAGAAGTACCACAAATCTGATTTCTACTGCCATAAGTTAGTTTTGCGTAGTAGGTTCTAAGTATTGTAATTTTGTCTTCCTTTCCTTTCCTTTCTTTTTTTTTTTTCTTTTCTTTCAATAGGCTTGCTCTGTTGCCTAGGCTGAAGTGCAGTGGCATGATCACAGGTCACTGCAGCCTTGACCTCCCGGCTTGAGCCATTCTCCCACCTTGGCCTCCCAAGCAGCTAAGACCACAGGTAGGCTCTACCACACGTGGCTAATTTTAAAATCTTTTGTAGAGACAGGGTCTTGCTGTGTTGCTCAGTCTGATCTCAAAACTCCTGGTCTTAAGTGATTCTCTCACTTTGGCCTCCCAAAGTGCTGGGATTACCTGTGCACAGCCAATTTTGTGTTTCTAAGGACCCTCTAGGTAGTGCTTTGAGGAGGAGGAGGGGTGTGCGTCTGTGTTTAAAAAGCAGTATCCCATATGGTTAGGAGTCCCCAGTGAGTGAATAATAATGTTTTAGAGTTTGTCCAATGGGATGTTCAGATTGTTTTTTCTCATTAGCTCAGGGGATTTGGATTTATGTTAGGACTCCTGATTCCCAGCTGGAAGAGTCAAAACCACAGACAGGCCTGGTATGGAGGAAGTGTGGTTGGGCAGGGGCTGGCTTATCGGGGAACGTGTGTGTTGTGTTGGAGAGCTGCAGTGCTGGGTTAGAAGAACCAGAATTACTCCTAGTCCGTTCCTTTGGATGACCAGAAGTTCCTTTGGCATGCTTTCTCTTTTTTCCCTGCCTTTGCCTTGAACTAGCATATGAATTTAACAACCCACAGAGTTGTGGAGTTGGGCTTGCACTGTGGAAACAAGATCTGTGCTGCAAAGCCCGCTGCTGGCTGGAAACGCAGGTGTAGACTGCTGAGCTCACAGCCCCTGGGAAGCGTGGGCCAGATTCAGAGTGAAATTGCCCCCGAACATGTTATTGAAATGTATTGAACAGGGTCTGTTTCTTTTCCTTTTTTGAAAAAAATTTAAATGAAATTTTCATTGTGCAAGTTAGTACATGAACACATTCTCTGTAAGTGAAAAAATGCAAAACTTCTTGAGCAAGCAGAAAGTCTTCCTTGATGACTGTTTCCGATCCCAGTCCCTTCCCCAGAGGTCGAGCACTGTCACTGACTTGCTGGTCTTCAGATGCTTCACATACTCACATCTAGACCTATAGGACTTAAAAAAAGTTAAGTGCATTGGCTGAGGATTACATAAGGTCTCTTTACTGAATTGCTCCTTCCTCGCTCAGCCTCAGTCGGCTTGGTCAAAGTTCCTGGGCTTGTATGCAAAGGTCTCCTTGATTTTGTTCAACCTCTGCCTGGTCTCCCTTTGAATTAGAAGGCCACACAGTTACCTCACCTTTCCCCAATTCATGGGCATCTCAGTCATTTCCAAATCGTTTATTGTTAAAAAAGCTGTTACCAGCTGGGCGCGGTGGCTCACACCTGTAATCCCAGCGCTTTGGGTGGCCAAGGCAGGCGGATCACGAAGTCAGGAGTTGGAGACCAGCCTAGCCAATATGGTGAAACCCCGTCTCTACTAAAAATACAAAAATTAGCCAGATGTGGTGGCATGAGCCTGTAGTCCCAGCTACTCGGGAGGCTGAGGCAGAAGAATCGCTTGAACCTGGGAGGCAGAGGTTGCAGTGAGCTGATATTGCGACATTGCGCTCCAGCCGAACGACAGAGCAAGACTGTCTGAAAACACACACACACACACACACACACACACACACACACACACACTCTCTCTCTCTCTCTCTCTCTCTCTCTCTGTTATCAAAAACACTGCTGCACAGACCTCTGCAGCACCTGTGGGTTCTCTCTAGGGTAGGTACTGAGAAAGTGGAACTGCTGGTCCATAGGGTTCTTGAACCGTACATTCTAACGAAGATGTCTTATGGGGTCAGTTCTTCCCTTAGAGTTACTGTAGAGCGGGGGATGCCTGCCCTGTGCTCAGACATGAGGCAGTTATTTGAAGATTAGAGGCAGGATTTGGAGTGCGCCAGGTGGGTACTCACTGGCCTCACAGGTCGCACATGCCACTGCTGGTCTGTGGGAAGTGTTGGTGTCAGGAAGGGCTCTTCTGGGCCTCCTAGTTAATTCTGCTTGGTTCCCGCCCCCCAACCCCTGAGGACTTTGACCTGTATGTTGGTAGTGGTTGTGTGAAAAAGAATCACAGGCCAGACGGGCAGCATTATGCAATCTGGGTGGGAAATTCTAAACTCAGTTCACGCAGCCTGGAGACCTTCACTGCATCTGCGATTCTTCTCCAGTCTGCCTTTGTAATCCAAGTGTGGCTTAAACACTCAAGCCCAGGGCGAGGCGTTTGAAAGCATGATGTTCTTTAAAGGCATCTAGATTGCTGCCACGGGGCTGTCATTAGCAGTTTATGTTGATTGCAGAAGAATGGTGTCTGCTGCTATTTACACTCTGGCCTTCATCTCTAGCTCTCTACAGAACTCGTGCAAAACATGAGAGTCAATCCTATCAGATCAAACCCATGCGTTTAGGCACCAGTATGGCAAGGGAGGGAGTGGCCGTGGCCGTCCTGAAGACAGCTCTGGGGCCGGTTGTGGGCTGCTGTCCCGGGCCACCTGGGTGGGGAGAGGCAGAGGCCTCTTTGCAGCCTTCCCGGTTTTGTGCCCATTCAGCTTCAGATCTCCACGCAGACTGTAATGAAGTAATGTTAGTTGGACCCTAGGGCAGCCCCACTCGTGTGTTCATTCACTGTCCAGACAGAGTTTGCGCTTCATTTGCCTTCATGGGGGTATTCCAGCATCCCCTCTCTGGTCTCCAGCTGATGTTAGCGGGGCCTCTCTTTTCTGTCATTTCAGTAGTTGGTGACCAAGTTGGCATTCTACTCCTCTCTCCTACTTGGTGGATTCTCTTGGGGCCCTCCTAGCCTTGATCCTTCGTCCTGAAGAGCACTGTCATCTTAGCCTGCCCTCCCTGTCACACAGCACATTTAGGTTCACGGTCCTCTGGCCTTATAAATCATCTTTCTTTTTTTCCCCCTGAAACAGGGTCTTACTCTGTCACCCGGGCTGGAACACATGGCACGATCACAGCTCACTGCAGCGTCAACCTCCCAGTGTCAAGTGATCCTCCCATCTCAGCTTCCTGAGTAGCTGAGACTACAGGCACATGCTACCATGCCTGGCTAATATTTGTATTTTTTGTAGAGATGGGGTCTGCCAGTGTTGCCCAGGCTGGTCTTGAACCCCTGAGTTCAAGCCACCCTCTGCCTCAGCCTCCTAAAGGGCTGGGATTTATAGGCGTGAGCCTCCACATCTGGCTGCATCTGTCTTGATGGGCAGAAACGCGTGTTCCCAGTGCAGATAGTTTTACAGGGATTTGGACGGGGGTGGGCAGTGTGCTGCTTTTTGTTTGAGTGCTTTTGCAGTGGCACTGGACAAAATGTTTTCCTTTTTGGCCTTCATGGCCACGGTAGATGACAGTGTGTCCCACAGTGACATCAGGTCTCTTACTGGGTGTGACTGTTTCCACAGAGCTCTTGCACAGTTTTGATTTTTTTCTTACATTTCTTACGCTGCCCTTGTGGATGTTAAAATTTCCTGTGTCCCCCCCCACCCCACCCCTTTGCACTCTTTCCTATAATTTTCCCATAGGTTTGGCTCTTCACTGCCTGGGCTTTGGTCTCTGCTTTTTTTTTCAGGAGCTTGGCGATTCTTGAAAAAATCAAGGCACTTGTGGAAAAAAAAATTCATTGCCTCATCGAAGCCCTAAATTATCCTCTGGGATAGAATCAGTGCTTTTTCTCATTTTCCAAGTGAGGAAACAGAGGCACAGAGAGGTGAGGTCTTTTGCCCAGGGTCACAGGGGGGACGTCTGAGTTTTGTTTTCTTTTTTCAGACAGGTTCTCATTCTGTCACCCAGGCTAGAGTGCGGTGGCACCATCTTGACTCACTGCAACCTCCCAGATTCAAGCAATTCTCATGCCTCAGCCTCCCGAGTAGCTAGGATTGCAGGCATTCACCACCATGCCTAGCTAATTTTTTTATTTTTGTATTTTTTTTCAGATGGAATCTCTCACTGTAGCCCAGGCTGGAGTGTAGTGGCTTGATCTCTGCTCAGTGCAACCTCCGCCTCCTGGATTCAAGCAATTCTCCTGAGTCAGCCTCCCAGGTAGCTGGGATTACAGGTGCCCACCACCATGCCCATCTAATTTTTGTATTTTTCATAGAGATGAGGTTTTGCCTTGTTTGCCAGGCTGGTCTTGAAGTCCTTACCTCAAGTGGTCGCCTGCCTTGGCCTCCCAAAGTGCTGGGATTATAGGCATGAGCTGCACCTGGCTGAAGTCTGTGCAGCCCTGACTGTGCATTCTCTTTGGGATATTTGGAAAGGGTGAAATAAAAATAATTGTAGCCCTGATCCTGGGGGAATCCCATGCTTGATACTTTGCTGTCACAATGCGCATTTCCCTTTCCATGCCGCAACCACCACACCACATTAACCTCTTGGTGACTCGAGTTTTTAATAATAAGGAAGTTTATGAGGTCATCTAGTTTAGTCTCTCACTTGATGCATTATTTTCTTTGCTGTGCAACATAGTAGAAAGAGCATAACTTGTCTGGGCCTGGTGGCTCACACCTGTAATCCCAGCACTTTGGGAGGCTGAGGCGGGAGGATCAGTTGAGCCCAGGAATTTGAGATAAGCCTTGGCAACGTGGCGAAATCCCGTCTCTAAAAAAAATGCAAAAATGAGTCAGGCATGTTGGTGTGCACCTGTAGTCTCAGCTATTTGGGAAGCTGAGGTGGCAGGATTGCTTGAACCTGGGAGGTTAAGGCTGCAGTGAGCTGTGATACTGCCACTGCACTCCAGCCTGGGCGACAGAGGGACACCCTGTCTCAAAACAAACAAACAGACATAGCTTTTGGAATCAGACACATTTGGGCTCACATTCTGAGTTCTGTCATTTTCTAGCTTTGTGGCCTTAGGAAGATTACTTAATCTCTCTGAGACTTAGTTTGCCCATCTGTAAAATGGGAATGATGATGGTATTTATAATCTCATGGGTTATTTGTGGAGGATTCAATGAGACACAGCCTGTGAAATGTTCAGCAAGTCGACTGGCACTTCAGTCTTTGATAAATGATAGCTATTAGAACATTCCTGAATGAACATCAGTCTTTGAAAGGCCATGGATTACATACAAGGGTCCCTGTTATTCTCTTGTCACTTAGATGTGATTTTATTTCTTGGGAACATCCTACTGCCTTTGCTTCAAAAGATTCTCCTCTAATGTTGGCCTTGAACTAAGTCCAGTCTGCCTGCCGGTCTGCGGTGGGTAAGGGGTGTCAGCACCCTCAGTTGTGTCCCTGGGGCAGGCAGAGCTCATCAGCACCCTGTGCTGATTTTACCCTTTCCTTCTCTGAAAACCCATGGATGTGGGCCAGCTGCCGTCTGCGATCGATGCACATTTTTTTGTTGCTTGGGTTCAGCACGTCTTCACCAGTGATTACCCTCTGATTCATGCCACCACCCAGTCTGTTTTAGGAAAAGCATCACAGTGGCACCCCAACATCCTAAGCTGGGACTGGGGTGAACTCTCATTCAGCCTGTTTTGCCATCTCTCTCTCAGGCCCACAGTTATTGGGGCATAAAGATTCCTTAAATGGCTTCCTCCAGAGAAAAATACGTTTAAGGCACTTCCTTAGTGGTTTGTGCCCTGGGCAAGCCCCTCCTCCCTTCTGTTTATTTTCCACTGTGTGTTTAAATCCTCCCCGATGGTGCCTGTCTTCTCTTCACTAAGGCCGCCTTTCTGTTTTTGGGGGAAACGTGTGTCTCCTTTAACCTCCAGTCACTCGGTGGATTGTTTTTAGCTTCGTAACACGTTTTATTTTGACTTATCTAACTGATACCAAAAACTGAAAATTTTCACATGGATATTCATCTAACTCATGGGCTCCATTCTAACATCATCTTTTTAAAATCAGGCTTCACTCTGATTGCTGAATTTTTTTTTCCTTTTCCTGAGAGAAGCAAATGTTCATTCATTCATCTCATCATACCACACGAGTACATAAATGTAGCTTCGGAGCATATTAAGTGCTTTTATAGACAAGTGCTGGCTGTGTGGACTCAGTGTTAGCTCATTTAGGCCCCAAATTCATTAGGGCAGCATCTGACTCTTGGGTTTCTTAATATCTGGTTTGGTGCATGGTCAAGAGCTGTACCCACGTTTAGCATATCAGCAGGTGTTTAAAGATGCTGGGCTTTTTCTGCTCCGGGGCCCTTTCCCAGGGATTCTGGTGAGTCCCTCACCAGGTGGGTCTGGTTGTGGGCGGGATTAGCTCCCAGAGGCCTGCCCGTCCCCACCTGGGGGAGGTTTGGAGGCAGGGCCCCAAGGTTGAGATTCAGGCTTAAGGAAACAGAGCAGGAATGGGACCCCTTTACCCAAAGTGAGCGGGGCAGGCACCTAATCACGTGGGTGATGGGCAGGGGCCAGAGCTGTCTGACTTGGCATTGAGCTCCAACCATGGACACTGGTGTGGGTTCCTTTTGACTGGCAAGCCTCTAAATGGGAGCCTTGATTACCCACCACAAGGAGGGGGCGGTTGCCTTTTTAGGACCTGCTGATTCCAGCCAGGTGAGTCACCAGGTAGCTCTCATCCCGCCAGGATCCACTGCCTGTCAGTTTGGCATTGTCAGAGAATGTGATCATTCATCGAAGTGACATTTGAGTTCCAAACCAGCTTTCTCCTTTAACCATTTCACCCCCAGGAGTGATTCTCCTTTGTTTAGCATTGTCAGAGAATATGACAATCCATTCAAATGACTTTTGAGTTCCAAATAGTGTTTCTATTTTAACTTCCTAAATGAAAAAGGAAAAAATTGGTCGGGCACAGTGGCTCACGCCTGTAATCCCAGCACTTGGGGAGGCCGAGGTGGGCGGATCACTGGAGGCCGGGAGTTTGAGACCAGCCTGGCCAACATGGTGAAACCTCATCTCTACTAAAAATAAAAAATTAGCCCGGCCAGGTGGCAAGTGCTTATAATCCTGGTTACTTGGAAGGCTGGGGCAGGAGAACTGCTGGGACCTGGGAGGCGGAGGCTGCAGTGAGCCAGGATGGCACCACTGCACCCCAGCCTTGGCGACAGAATGAGACTCTGTCTCAAGAAAAAAGTAGAGCCCGTGTTCCTGTGTTCCTCTGCTTTCTTCAAGGAGCAAGAACATAGGTGCCCTTTTTGTCATCTCGGGATTGTTACCTGGGGCGTTGTTACCTCTCAGCCTTCCCTTTCCAGCGAGTGCCCACTCAGGGCCTTAGTGCTGAGCGGCCTTGACTGTTGGGTAGGCTTTGAGAACCCTCACGTCTGTGTTTTATATTTTTGGAATGGCAGCTTTTTTTTTTTTTAATTGCCAGCTTTTGCTTGTTGTAGCTGCAAGTGCTTCCAATAGATCCCTTCTCCATGAAACTCGCTCTCTTCCTCTGGATTCCCCCAAGTCACCCCTGCCCCACCCCAGCCTAAGCCTCCTCTTGCTGCTGGGTCTCCACTTGTGGGGCAGAGAGAACTAGACCAGGAAGGCACGTGAAACTGACAATGCCCCTGCCAGCTTGCTTTGGGATTTTGGACAAATAGGTGACCTTCTTGAAGAACCTGTGTTCTCACAGCTCTAAAGTGGGGACAGTCTTGTTCCTCTGTATTTTATTGAGTTGCTGGAAAGTCATGAAAGAAAAGAAGCCCCAGTGTGTGCGTTTGAGAGTATAAACCTAAGGGCTGTTCAAGCATTTGTGGGTGGTTTGGGGTCGTGTGCAGGTCTCTTAGAAGTGTACCCTGAAGACTGCTAGTCGTGAGGCTTGTTCTCTCCTGGGATACTTGGCTCCTGGTTCCCTCCCTCCAGTCCTGGCTGTGGGTAAAATGCCAAGTCAGCAATTTTCCGTCGCCCCACCTCCTCCTGGAACTGTCACGTAGTTGGAGAACAGTTTAAATCAGGTTTAACCACACCACACGCTGCCCCTCCCTCGCCACATACATGCACGTCCTTGCGCCCCATGCATTTACAAAAACACGTGGGGACAACTGCGTCTCCTCACCCGGACTTCTCCGCGTGGTCCTGCTTATTCCTGCTTCCTTCTGTCATTTTGTTGACCTGCTTTTAAGAAAACCCTGTCTTAGGACCAAGTTTGAATGCTCTTGATACCTTCGCCCCAGCAGGTATTCTTTCTTGTAACACGTTTCTCCAATCTGGGCCTCTTCTTACCCCTGGGAAATCAGCTGTTTAAGATCAGTCTAAGGAGGCTGTTTCTGTCGGTGCCAGTAGAGAGGGCTGTGGATTCCTGAGCCTTCACTGTGTGCCAGGGAGTGTCCTAAGAGCTGCCTTGTGTGTTAGGGTAGTGTGAACTGCAGAGTCTTGAACAAAGGCACTGCGTGTTGGAGAGCAGGCGGGGAGGTAGGTGTGAAGGAAGGGGAAGTGTGTTTTCTCCTGGGTAGAGTGTGAAAGCGCTTTCCTGCCAGCAGTGCAAACAGAACCCGTCTCTTTTACTTGACTGAATGGCTGTCGAGCAGTCAGACCAGCAGAAATACTTGTTCACCAGGATCGTTTATTATTTGCTGAGCAGATCAGATGACCTATTTCTATGGCCCATCTGCTGGAATATGAAAATAACAGTGTTATTTGGGGGCCCTTCTTTTTCCTTTCCATTATTCTATTACATCTGTTACTTAGAGTAATAGGAAGGCTGGGTGCTCAGTTGTAGGAGATGCCAGAGAGAAGATTCTAGCCCTGAATGGGGGTCGGACAGTCATTCCGGTCTCTATTAATCTTGATATTCCATCATTTTAATTTTACTGGTAGTCTAGTAAAAGTCTATTCTACACTGATGCAGTGTAGCCCAGTTTTTTAAAAACCTTCAGAAAAACACAATAGAATACCCTGAGAATCCAAATTGTCACACTCTGACCAGCTGATTTAGAACTTGAATCAATCACCCCTTGAATCAGTCGCCAATATGCTCAGTGCCATGTGTCTGAAGCTTGTACTTGAAAATCCTAGGCTGGGCATGGTGGCTTACACCTGTAATCCAAGTGCTTTGGAGGCTAAGATGGGCGGATCACCTGAGGTCAGGAGTTCAAGACCAGCCTGACCAACATGGTGAAACCCTGTCTTAAAAAAAAAAAAAAAAAAAAATCCTAAGTGTACACCACTCCCATCTTAAAAAATAGTGTAACAGGCTGGGCCCGGTGGCTCACACCTGTAATTCTAGCACTTTGAGAGGCCGAGGTGAGCGGATCACAAGGTCAAGAGATCGAGACCATCCTGGCCAACATGGTAAAACTCCGTGTCTACTAAAAATATAAAAATTAGCGTGGTGGCATGTGCCTGTAGTCCCAGCTACTTGGGAGGCTGAGGCAGGAGAATCACTTGAACCCGGGAGGCGGAGGTTGCAGTGAGCTGAGATCGCGCCACTGCATTCCAGCCTGGCAACAGAACGAGACTGCGTCTCAAAAAAAAAAAAAAAAGGATAACAGGACCTGATAAATAATTTCAGAGGGCTAGAAGTTTTAAGTCAGGGCCTTCAGTGCTCTTACTGAGGCCCAGGCTTTCTTTGAAAGCCAGGAGGAGTTTTTTCCTATCTCTTCAAAGAAAAGTTCCATGTATACTTAACAAAGTGTTTTTTTTTTTTTTTTTTTTTTTTTTAAAACTTTCTTTGGGGAAGACATACCAGAAAAAAAGCTTGAGAACCAGCCACCGGGCAGCAGCTGGGTAGTGATGATGGGATGGGATGGTTTGCCTCTGCTGAGGGTCGAATGGTGATGTGCAAACCAGGAGGACCATCAACATATGTGCATATACTCATAAATACGCTTACAAGTATTCACGGCATTTGTCAGCAGAGACGCTGGTTAAGAATTGCTGAATGCTGTTAAAACGAACTGTTTGGGAATCTGACTCTCCGTGGAGTTAAGTTGTAAAATAAGAGATGCAAACATTCGCTGTGAACGTTTCGGCCGTTGGATGAGTTTATTTACTTATTTAGAGCTCAGACGGTCCTCTTGCCTGAGCCTCCTGGGCAGTGGGGCTTGTAGGCAGGTACCTCTGTACCCTGCAAGTTCAGAATGTCACACAGAAACAAAACTTAAGTAAAAATATAGATTTAAAGGAAAAATTGGCACCTTTCTGGTAAAAGATAGAGAATGATATGCCAAATATTAACCAAACATCTGAAAACTTAAAGGGTTGTTCCTGCAGTGATACCCAATGGAGATAATTAAATATACAGAAAACCGAGCGTAGCAGAGAATCTGAAGCTCTGGGCAGGAGGGTTGACATCCCTTCCTTGATCTATAAATTGTTCCTTAGAGAAGTAGCAAGCACCCAAGTTTTTGCCAATAGGAGTCTTACTCCAAACTTCACCCTCAAGTTAAAAAAAGCCCCATGAGTTGTGCAGTGAATCACTTTGACTTACGATTCGTGTTCTGAAAGCGCCTGCCGCGAGGTGGTATCATGGTTCGCTGCAGTGTCCCTGGGCAGTAGGAGAGTGCGGCCGCCGTGCGTGAGTGTGTGCACGCAGGCAAATGTGGGGGCGTGCCTATGTGTGCCGAGACATGTGGTTGTCCAGCACAGTCACATGACAAATAGCAGTTTGCAACCCTGAACCACAGAGTTTGACTGTTTTGCCTGTTCCAGTTCCTTAACTGATGGCAGATGTCCTCATTAAGGGCTATTAGCACTTCAGAATGTGTTTGCCGAGCCCAGAAAAGAGCTAACTCCTTTTGGACATGGACTGAAAGACTAGTAATCCGGGGTAGCCAGCCCCTCCCGTTGGTGACAGGAGTAGGAGTGAGGAGTACAGGAGGGCTCCGGATTCCTTCAGACTCTCCCAGGAAGGCTCCAGCACAAGTACGTGTTTCAATCCGGGAATTCCATCAGAGGAGAACGTGAAATCATAAAGTGGGATTCGGCTGTGTGACCCTGAAATAGGTGTTTCCTGATTTCTCTTGGCTGCTCTAGAACCTTATGGTGCACTAGCGGATGGCTGGCTTATAGGGACCATTGCTAGCTCCCAAGAATGAACTCACCACTGGAGTGAATGGAGTGGAGATCCTGGAGGAGAGGGGTGGAAGGAGGCCACTGCTGGAATGATAGGAGCCTACCAGGAGGGCTGGACCCTCAGAGCGATTGTGAGATAGCAGGCGGGTCCTGAAAAGTCATGGCGGCCCCCGAATTCACCTTGCTTCTGGACCACCTGTTGGAAGACCTTTGCCGAATGCTCTCATGCACTCCGAGTCCCTGAAGACTCTTGGTTATTTGTGCTGTCTCTCGAGCTGCGTCTGTAAATGTCATGAGTGGGCTCATGAACACTGGAGAGGCATCGAGTGACGCCTGGTGATGCCCAGCCTGGATTAGTCTAGATTTGTATTTCCCACTTCCATGCTGCTGATCCACAGTATAAACTCGGCTAAAGTTTTCCCTGACTTTTTCGGTTGATCCATTATCCCTTTGCGCCCTGCCAGAGGGCAGTATGTGTATAAAGGTCTTCCCAAGTCCGAGCTGCTAAATGATTAACAGTGGCTTGGGCTGCTTAGCAGGGTCAGACGAGAGCATTGACCTTTAGTCTGTCGGTAAGAGGCCAAGATGCAAGTGGAGAAGAGATTTTTTTGTCCAAGGAATGAAAGTACGTGAGAAAAGGAAGATGTAGACTTTTAGATTGGGAGCTGATTTTTCTTTTTCCTTTTTTGACATTGAGTCTCTCTCTGTCCCCCAGGCTGCAGTGCAGTGGTATGATCTCAGCTCACTGCAACCTCTGCCTCCTGGGTTCAAGTGATTTTTTTTAGATGGAGTCTCACTCTGTTCCCCAGGCTGGAGTGCCGTGGTATAATCTCGGCTCACTGCAACCTCTGTCTCCTGGGTTCAAGTGATTTTTTTTAGATGGAGTCTCGCTCTGTTCCCCAGGCTGGAGTGCCGTGGTATAATCTCAGCTCACTGCAACCTCTGTCTCCTGGGTTCAAGTGATTTTTTTTTTGAGATGGAGTCTCGCTCTGTGGCCCAGGCTGGAGTGAAGTGGTATGATCTCGGCTCCCTGCAACCTCTGCCTCTCAGGTTCAAGTGATTCTCGTGCTTCAGCCTCCCAAGTAGCTGGGATTACAAGTGCACGCCACCACGCCTGGGTAATTTTTTGTATTTTTACTAGAGATGGGGTTTCACCATGTTGGTCAGGCTTTGAACTCCTGATCTCAGGTGACTCACCTGCCTCAGCCTCCCAAAGTGCTTGAGATTACAGGTGTGAGCCACCACACCTGGTCAGGAGCTATTTTTTTTTTTAATCAACATTCACTAACATAGGGGGAAAAACATCTTGTTGATGAAAAGCAGCTTAATTGAGTGTTTTAGTTTGAGAGATCCCGTACCTACTGGAATAATGGCAGGGTCATGACCTCTGACACCAGATGGATGGGACTTCCTACCCAACCCTGCAGTTCCTAGCCGTGCAGCTTTGGCACCTGACACCTCATCAGAAATAAAAACCATTGGCTGATCTCAGATCCTTTTGAGGATTAAATTAGATATAATTTATGAAAGCTAGTACCTCTTAGGCACTTAATAAAGACAGTTTCCCTTCCTTCTTTCTCTTCTGCTTTTGAGAGTTAAGATTTGGGAGTACTATAAATAAAGCCAGTGAGACAATGTATTTTGGTGAGGAATTCTGGCCGGTTAAAGGAGCAGGGGAACAGGGGGGATCCAGTCAGAAGCGGCAGGTTCACCAGCTCCTTGCGACTCCTGCAGGCTTGGAAGGTTGCAGGCACAAACAAAACGGGCAGTAGAAAACCTCTAAATTCGAAAAAGAAAAAAGCTTACAAAAAACCTGGGCGGAGTTTCTTGGCCACATTTCAGGTGCCATCTGAAGACTTGGGAGCCCAGGAATTTGGGAAACACTACCCTTTCTTCATTTTCAGTGGTAGAAACCCCAAACTTCCTGCTCTGAAAAGTGGGGAGGCCACTAGGTTTTTAAATTTTTTTTAAATTTTGGGCCAAGCAAAGTGTAGTTCTTTCCCTGGGTTGATGCTGCCATCTCACGTCTCTACATGGCGTTGCGGCTTCGTCGCTGGATGCTCTCAGCCCAGTAAAACTGAACCGAGAGTTAGAGGTGCTCCATTTTAGCCTGAGACTTCAAAGACAAAGGTATACAGGTGACAGTATTTAAACAGCCGTTTTAGGACCAGCCTGACCAACGTGGAGAAACCTCGTCTCTACTAAAAATAAAAAAATTAGTCGGGAGTGGTGTTGGGTACCTGTAATCCCAGCTACTGGGGAGGCTGAGGCAGGAGAATTGCTTGAACCTGGGAGGCAGAAGTTGCAGTGAGCCAAGATCGCACTATTGCACTCCAGCCTGGGCAACAAGCAAAACTCCATCACAAAAAATAAAGCCACTTTAGGCCAGGCACGGTGGCTCATGCCTGTGATCCCAGCACTTTGGGAGGCCAAGGCAGGTGGATGGCCTGAGCTCAGGAGTTCAGGACCACTCTGGGCAACATGATGAAACTTCATCTTTACTAAAGTACAAAAAATGAGCCAGGTATGGTGATACACGCCTGTAGTCCCAGCTGCTCGGGAGGCTGAGGCAAGAGAATTGCTTGAATCCGGAGGCAGAGGTTGCGGCGAGCCTGGATCACACCAGTGCACTCCAGCCTGGGCAACAGAGTGAGATGTCATCTCAGAGAAACCCCCAAAACAAAACAAAACAAAAATTTAACTTAGGCATACACTTTTTTCTTTATAGTGGTAAAGATCTACTCTTTACGTTTTTTCTCCCTTTTTGTTATGTTAAAGCTTTCAGAGACAGTGTTATTTTTAATTAATTAATTTTTTTGAGATGGAGTCTCACTTTGTCACCAGGCTGGAGTGCAGTGGTGCCCTCTTGGCTTACTACAACCTCCGCTTTCTGGGTTCAAGCGATTCTCCTGCCTCAGCCTCCTGAGTAGCTGGGACTATAGGCACGTGGCACCACGCCCAGGTAATCTTGTATTTTTAGTAGAGACAAGGGTTTCACCACGTTGGCCAGGATAGTCTCAATCTCTTGACCTTGTCATCTACCTGCCTCGGCCTCCCAAAGTGCTGGGATTACAGGCATGAGCCACCACGCCCAGCTGAGTGTTATTGGAAGTAGTTACCAGATACCTAACTAGCAATTTCTTTCTGTGTGCAGTGACTCCAACCTTTTCCTTATATTAATATTTTCTTTGCTTTCTGGGAAATTCACAGTGGAGATACTATACCAGTAGCTTCTAGCTCTTGAGGTTCTGAGTAAAATGCTCATGAAAACCAGCATTTTGCCCTTTATTCACTATTTGCACATATATGATTATCCTTTACAATTCTTTTGCCATTTCTGTTTCATTATTGTGGAGATGTTCGCAGACATACCTTGCTGGAATGGTTTGGAAAGAGGCCAGGTTTTGGGAGGTGTGGAGATGGTGTGGTGCCCATAGAAAGAGACTGGGGGGCTTCTGGACAAGGATGAGAAGGAGAGGCTTGTGGACCTGTTCAAAGCTAGCTTGAGCTAAGGGCTGTGCCCACAACTGTCCTCTTGATGTGAGTGTGGTCAGGGGAATTAGACACATGGAGTGGAACTAGCCCTCTAGGCGCTGGGGGCAAGGCAGTCAGCATGGATGCTGAGGTCCCTGGAAATCCTGGTGTTCTATGCCTGCTGTGACCCCACAGCACCTGGGATGCACTTTGCACATATCCACTCCTCAGCTGAATCCTAACTGAAAAAGCCAATGGGAGGGAGCAGAGGACCGGAACAGCACAGATAGGAACTGAGGAGCTGCGCGTGCTCTGCAGGAGGAGGGCAATCTGCGTTTGCAAAGCGCAGGGTCTCACTCATCCCCTTCTGCCAGCAGTTTCAGGCCTGGGAATACTGCAGGTCAGCTCGTCCCTTGCTAGGGAACCACCTGGGGCCTGCTCAGATTCTCGCACCAACTGCGTTTGCTACCTGAACAAGTCAGGTTCCATGTTAGTTTCTTCAAGTGTAAGATGAGAGGAGCCTGGTTTCTTTCTTTCTTTTTTTAAGTCAGAGTCTCGTTCTGTTGCCTAGGCTGGAGTGCAGTGGTATGATCTCAGCTCACTGCAGCCTCCACCTCCTGGGTTCAAACGATTCTCCTGCCTCAGCATCCTGAGTAGCTGGGACTATGCCAGCATGCCTGGCTAATTTTGTATTTTTAGTAGAGACAGGGTTTCACCATATTGGCCCGGCTGGTCTTGAACCCCTGTCCTCAAGTAATCCACCTACCTCAGCCTCCCAGAGTGCTGGGATTACAGGTGTGGGCCACCACACTCGGCCAGGCTTGGTAAGTTTCTGTGGCTCTTTGCAGCTTTGAGCCAACTGAGCTTGAGAATCTATGTGTATTGGACAGACGTCCTCAAGCTTTGACCCAGCAGTATCGCTTCCCAGAGGTTGCCCTGCGGAAGCCAAGGTTGATGTGTGTGCTGTTGAGCTCACGATGCTCACTGCAGGCAGAGAAGTTTAGACAGTGGAGCATTGCGTGCAGCATTTGGGTACAGTAAATAATAAGACATTAGAATAGGAATGATGCCGCACCTGGGGAAATGCTATGTGGCTTCTAAATGTATTTTTATAAAATAATAATGATTCAGTAAAAGTCACTCAGTTAAGTAAAAATACAGTTTACCAAACAACAGTCCTATTTTTATGGAAATAAAAGTGTAAATACACGCCCAGAAGGAAGCCTGGCCTGCTGTCTGGTAAGAGTGGGCCTCCTGGGAGGCAGTTCCCAGGTGGTTTTTCTGTGTGCACATCAGTATTTTCTGATTGTCTTACTAGGAACGGTATCACCTTTGTAAAAAGGAAGGATGGTAGAAGTTGACTTTAAAGGGTTTGCTCATTTTCGCTCACCCTCCCTGGCTCCTGCTGTGTGGGACTTCCTCCTGAAAGCTTCCTGATTCCCCCAGGTGATGGGCAGAGGCCTCAGTGTCCCCTTCGCCTCCGCAGGAGAGGCAGCAGCATGGCGAGCGTCCTGTCTCGGCGCCTTGGAAAGCGATCCCTCCTGGGAGCCCGGGTATTGGGACCCAGTGCCTCGGAGGGGCCCTCGGCCGCCCCACCCTCAGAGCCGCTGCTAGAGGGGGCCGCTCCCCAGCCTTTCCTCGTGTCTGATGACACCCCCTGCCAGGAGCAGCCCAAGGAAGTCCTCAAGGCTCCCAGCGCCTCAGGCCTTCAGCAGGTGGCCTTTCGGCCTGGGCAGAAGGTAGGTTGATCCCAGTGTGGACGGCTGTCCCGTCTCGCGAGTCTTTGGGTGGCGGTTGGGGTGCCCTAGTGACAGGCCGGAAACTTTGGGCACCATTTTGAGTGCAGACCTTTTCCCTCCAGCCACAGGGTGCCTGGGCAGCAGACCGCCCCAGAGAATGTGGCACCATTAGCAGACCTACGGCTCCTCTGCCACCATGTTGTCTGTAGAAGGTGGCGAGACCTGGCATCTGACGCCCTGGGCTTTGTCCTGCTCAGAATCTCAGTTTGAAGGCTGGCCATAGCTCCGTTTCTTTTCATCTGCCTTAATTTGCAACTTGACCAAACAAACGAAAGCATCTCAGGCTTATGGGAGTTGGAGAACTTTGCATCTTTGAATTCCCTTTAGACACGCTGAAGAGTCAGAGATGTTTGTGTAGTTGGATTTGGTGGTGATTTCCTTGTCCAGCATCCCCACCCCTGTGCCAGGGTCCTGGGTCTCGTGTTACCACAGGTCCAGGTGCCTGGGGTTCTCTTCCGTTGCCCTCTGAAGGCTTCCTAAATACTCTACCTCTGTCTCCCTGCCAGCCCTGTGCCTGCCAGGCCTCTCTGTCTGTGAGGGAAGGTAGCCTGCCAACTTCCAGGTCCCCCTGGCGAGAGGTTGGCCTGCCTCTGCACCCCTGCCACCTTGTCCCCAGGTGGACTCAGCACTCTCTGAGTGCAGGATAATGAGCAATTCAGAGTAGCCGCTGGGCACCAGCAGACAGGCAGTGCATTCCAGGCAAGGAAGGCAGAAGGATGAGCATAGATTCCAGATTCAGAGAAAGTCCTGGAAACTGACATATTTGCCGTCTGCCAGTCTAGAGAACTGCTATGGACCTGTCTTGGGAGGAACCGGGCCAGTTTGGGTGCTCAGGTGGGAAGCAGGTACCTAGGAGCGTCTGCTGGAATAAAGAGAAGATAGTTCGCGGCAGGCAGACCCTGGCTCCTGGGATGTGGAGTGCATGAGAACTTCACAGTGAGACACATCCAGGGCTGACTGCCAACTGCTGTCCCTCTTCCCACAGGTTTATGTGTGGTACGGGGGTCAAGAGTGCCCAGGACTGGTGGAGCAGCACAGCTGGACGGAGGGTCAGGTGACCGTCTGGCTGCTGGAGCAGAAGCTGCAGGTCTGCTGCAGGGCGGAGGAGGTGTGGCTTGCGGAGCTGCCAGGCCCTTGTCCCCAGGCACCACCCCTGGAGCCCGGACCCCAGGCCCTGGCATACAGGCCCGTCTCCAGGAACATCGATGTCCCAAAGAGGTTTGTGTGGGGGAAGAAACTGGGTTTCAAAAGTTCCGTGGGTGGCGAGGTGTGAGGGTGTGGGTGACTCGTGGTGGGGAAGAAATGTGGTGTCATTGGTGTCTGGGTGCCAAGATACTGGGACAAATGGGGCACAGAAAAGGGGTATCTTTTTAAGAAAGCCAAAGTGCCATCTTTTCTTTTTTCTTTTTTTTCAAGACACAGTCTCACTCTGTTACCCAGGCTGGAGTGCAGTGGCATGATGTGGGCTCACTGTAACCTCCACATCCTGGGTTCAAGCGATTCTCCCACCTTAGCCTCCCGAGTAACTGGGATTACAGGCGTCCACTACCATGCCTGGCTAATTTTTGTATTTTTTGGTAGAGACGGGGTTTCACCATGTTGGCCAGGCTGGTCTCGAACTCCCAACCTCTGGCGATCCACCCATCTCGGCCTCCCAGACTGTTGGGATTACAGGTGAGAGCCACTGTGCCTGGCCCAGAGTGTCATCTTTCCCATAACCCTCTTATGGGTGATGTATCTTTTGTTGGTCAAAAGGTTGTTTTTCCCCCTTTCCATGCTTAAACTAACTTAGTTCATAGTTTATGATAAGAGACAGGGAAGAAATGGCTTAAATCAGGCATCAACAAATGTGTTTTGAATGGGCCAGAAAGTAAACAATTTAGGCTTTGTGGACTAAACAGTCTGTCTCCGCTGCTCAGCTCTGCTGTGGTGGCCAAGCAGCCAGGGTGATGCAGAAACCAGTGGGCATGGCTGTCCTCCGATGAAACCTCCTTTGTGGACCCTCAAATTTCACTTTTATGTACTTTTCATGTGTCACTGTCAAGAAATAGTATTCCGTCTTTTGAGTTTTAAAACCATTTAGGCCATCGCATTTAGGCCAAGTGCGATGGCTCCACCTGTAACTCCACCACTTTGGGAGGATTGCTTGAGTCCAGGAGTTTGAGACCAGCCTGGGCAACATAGCAAGACTTTGACTCTACAAAAAAATAAAAAAAATTAGGCATGGTGGCTTTTGCCTGTAGCCCCAGCTACTTAGGAGCCTGAGGCAGGAGGATCCCTTGAGCCCAGGTGGTTGAGGCTGCAGTGAGCAGTGATGGTGCTACTGTACTCTAGCCTGGGAGACAGAGCAAGACTCTGCTCTAAGAAACAAAACAAAGCAAGCTGAGTGTGGTGGCTCACGCCTGTAATCCCAGCTTTTTGGGAGACCGAGGTGGGCAGATCACTTGAGGTCAGGAGTTCGAGATCAGCCTGCCAACATGATGAAACACTGTCTCTACTAAAAATACAAAAATTAGCTGGCCGTGGTGATACATGCCTGTGATCCCAGCTACTTGGGAGGCTGAAGTACGAGAATCACTTGAAACCAACCTGAGCGACAGAGTGAGACCCCATATCAAAACAACAAACAAAACACAGAACCAAAGCATTTAAAAGTGTAAAACCATTCTTAGCTTGAAACCATACAGAAACAAGTAGCAGACTACACAGCCTGCCGTGTGCTTACCCCAGCTTAGATATTCCAAACTATTGGTGTTGAATGAAGAATGTCTTTTGCTTTAGAATTTTATGACTTTTTTCTAAGAATATATATCCCAATTTCTATGTTATATGCTCTATGTACATTGATCTTTTAAGATTTAAAAAGAAAATCTGCCAACTGAAATTGTCTTATATATAAGACGTACAAGCATTCACACCCTGTCCCACCTCTCTTTCTGTGTTTGTCTGTGAGTGCTCCAAAACACAGCAGACCCAGTATTTTGAACCCAGATCAGAGTAGCAATATTCGCGATTGTGTATCCAGTGGAATGCAGGCAAAGAATTTGCTTTCCTGTTCTGTGGAAATGAAAATTTAAAGATCATCCAAAAATAGAGATGCTAATATGTTTAATGTATTAATGGTCTTGAATGTTTAATGTATTAATAGTCTTGGTTTAGTTGCCTCTCAACCAAGTCATATATTTTAGTGGACCTCAACTGTAAGGAATAAATTAAGATAGCCCTTTGAAACAGACGACTTAGAAGTTTATTTCAGACTAACTTTTCCTAAAACTTTAGCATTAACTTCTAGACAGCTTTAATTTTGCTTCCAAAAGTGTAGTGATATATAGATTTTTTAAAAATTACATGTAACATTTTACAGAACTCTGCTGTATAAAGCATGGACATTTGCATTGGGAGATTTATTTTATTTTTTGAGTTAGAGTCTTGTTCTGTTGCCCAGGCTGGAGTGCAGTGGCGTGATCTCAGCTCACTGCAACCTCTGTCCCATGGGTTCAAGCGATTCTCCTGCGTCAGCCTCCCGAGTAGCTGGGACTATAGGTGTGCATCACCATGCCCAGCTAATTTTTTGTATTTTTAGTAGAGACGGATTTCACCGTGTTAGCCAGGATGGTCTTGATCTCTTGACCTCAGGATCTGCCTGCCTTGGCCTCCCAAAGTTCTGGGATTACAGGCATGAGCTACTGCACCCAGCCAGGAGATTGATTTCAGTGCTTCTGGTTTATTTGCCCATTGGCTTGGGTAGTAGGTTCTGTTGACGTTCAAAAGCTGTCAGAATGCTTTACCATTTTTCTTGGTGGGGTGGGAGAAGGTGGTTAGTGTATAATTGTTTCTTCTTAAATTTAAATGTGGATCAAGGAAGGGAGGTAATTTTTGTGCTTTTGAATTCCAGTGGGTGTGTTTTGTACCTGTGTTTATTTCGTTTTGAGCCTACTCTCCCCAAATAAAGTTCTCCTTTTTAAGCTGCAGAGTCAAGCAGCAAACTCAAGGGAGAATGGGGCTGAATCAGGGTGTCACAGTGGGATGGGACCCACCAGCTTATACCAGAGCTGCCTAATGTTATAAGCATCACTCAGAATGGGTACTGCTCAGGAAGAACGGGAGACCTCCATGTTTCACTTAGTTTATATGATCTGAGCACCCACTGGAGTCGGGGGGACTTGGAGTCAGGGGGCTGGAGTCAGGGGGACTTGGAGAGGATAGTCCAGAAGTGTAATATGATCATGTGAAACTGGCCAGAAGTGGTGTCTCATTTTGCGGGGAGCATGGGCTCGCTATTCCAGGAAGTAACCTTTCCCACTCCTGCGTGTGAATCCAGGAAGTCGGATGCAGTGGAAATGGATGAGATGATGGCGGCCATGGTGCTGACGTCCCTGTCCTGCAGCCCTGTTGTTCAGAGTCCTCCCAGGGCTGAGGCTAACTTCTCTGGTGAGCAAGCGGGGGCGTGGCTGGGTTCTGGGCATGGCAGAGGCCCGGACAGACCTTCTCTGTGTACAGCAGCTGGATGCCTGCGTCACCAGCCTGGCAGTAGGATTTCCAGGGACTCCTCCCACTGGCACCTCCCGCCAGCTGCATGCCATGGAATTAGACGCTTCCGTTCTTTTTCCTCAGTTTCCTCATCTGGGGAGGAGCGTCCTGGTGCATTGTGAAGATGACTGAGCATGGGACTGAGCCACAGTGGCCAGTGGAGTAAGTTCTTCCATGGGAGTGACCAAGCCCAGCACTTTGGTGGGGCCTGAATGAGGCCAATAGAGGAATATTTAGTTGACAAAGTAGAAATGTGCTGAATGGTCTCGTAGAGGCCTCAGAAAATTCTTGCCCTCATTCCAAGTGCCTAATTCAGCCTCACAAATTAATGTGGGCCTACGGGACAGGGACCTGAAATGAATGAGCTAATGTCATTAATATAAGTCTAACTGCTTAATAAAAACTAGTGGTTTGACTTCATGGCAAATTTATTAATTAAGACAAAATTTCTATAGTTGTAACCCCAAAATACTTTATCAGTAATATAAGGGGAAAAAGGGTTGCTGGGCATTTGCCATTAGTTTGGCAAGACTGCTAGTGAACCTGAAGTTTTTTGGAAAATTTGTGGCAGGGCTGGCCTACCTGACTCCCAGGGAAGAACTTTTCATTGGTGGACACCTAACTGAATTGCAAGCTACTTAAAAGCTTACAGGAAAATATGGAGTCTGAGCACACAGCAGGAGGAAAGTGGCCTTCATAAGTATCCCTTATAAGGAATGTTCCAAAATAGAAATTAAACATAAAGGAGAGAGAAAACATAGTTGCTTTCTTGACTCAAAACTGACCCTCAATGAGGAGGCTGCTGAAGAACGTCACTGTACTACGGGGACACCTAGCCGTGAAGCCTAGTATTGCATGCATGCTCCATTAGCACAAGCAAGATAGGGAAGAGGAAAGGAGTTAATTTCTGTGTTCTTAGGAAAGTTTAGGAGATGTGGGTGGTTGGGTGGAAAGATCCAGGAAAGTGTCCTAAAAGGAAAGAAAAGAAAATTGTCGACTCCAGTTCCCATCAGGAGGGTTTGTATAATACGTGCATACACAAGTGCACATCAGCATAGAAGTGTCTCGCTGAATATATGCCATCATCCTGATTTTAAGTCCCTTCATCAAAAAAAATTCTTGTCTATTAAAGATTTTTAAAAATATGATTTCATTTTATTTATTCTTTTTTTTTTTTTTTTTTGAGACGGAGTTTCACTCTTGTTACCCAGGCTGGAGTGCAATGGCGCGATCTCGGCTCACCGCAACCTCTGCCTCCTGGGTTCAGGCAATTCTCCTGCCTCACCCTCCTGAGTAGCTGGGATTACAGGCACACGCCACCATGCCCAGATAATTTTTTGTATTTTTAGTAGAGACGGGGTTTCACCATGTTGACCAGGATGGTCTCGATCTCTTGACCTCGTGATCCACCCGCCTCAGCCTCCCAAAGTGCTGGGATTACAGGCGTGAGCCACTGCGCCTGGCTATTAAAGGTTTTTTTTTGATTACAGTATATCAGTATATTTTCGATCTTACAGCTGAAGTCAGTGGAAATAAAAGACTTCCTGGGCCTAATTATCTTGAAGTGTTCTGCGAAGCATGGCCTATATAGCCACCAAAACCGTAACTAAGAGGGTCGTGGATACGGTTTGCTCAGAAGCTGCTTACTCCTGTTGGTTTCTGTGTGGTCAGGGTGGTGTGTGTCTGTGTGTAGAAAACAGAGGATTATAAATACTTCTCAAAGGTCCACTTGTAAGCACTCAGTGCTGTGCATTTGTAGAGGCGTACTTTGTTTTCATGGTCTAGAGTGTGTATTTATTGCCTGTGTCCTAGAAAAACATGTGAAGAAAGATGGAGTCCCTTACAACTTACACATTAACTTACATGGATAACTTTTGGCTTTGTGTTACATTTTGCTTCCTTTGTGTGCCAGTCAAAATCTGCCATGCAGATTTCGTGCGTTTGAGCCATTGTGAGTGGTTCCTGTAGGAAAGGGCTGCCACACTTGTAGCAGGGGGTGCCTGCTGCTTGACCCCGGAGTCCTGACCATCCTGCATGTAGCGATGGAGGATTCCGCTCTCTGCCTTTCTCTGCCTGTTAGTGTTCCTATCAGCGGATGTGCGTGGGCCTTTTGCATGTTGGCCTGTTTGATGATTCTTGTGTTCTGCCCTGAATGTGTACCGTTCTCTAAGCACGCGTGCAGACATAGGAACCTCTTGGTTCCCAGGAAGGGGCAGTGATGGCTGTGAGACAGACAGCGGTACGTGGGGTGGGGAGTGGAGAGTTCTTCTTCCATCTCCTTCGTTTTGGGTGGGCTTCTTCTGGGATGTGAGATGGAAGGAGAGCCTGGACTGGAAACGTGGGCAGATGGGAGCCTGTGCTAGGCAGATCCCTGTTTAGCACTGAGGCAGTCGGCACTGTGAGCAGGAGGAGAGAAGGGCAGTAGGATTTTATCCTGGCCACAGGGATGTGCTGGTAGACCTTGGCATCCAGGGTTAGGAGGCTCTGTGGAACGCCCCTGTTGGGAGTTGGGGCTTCTGAGGACAGGTAGTTTTTTCCCCCCCCCTCTCTTGGTATTTCCACATATCAGAATTTCAGATTCTCCTCTATTATCAATTCACCTGATGTTTGGCCTAGGAGTGAGAGTGTGGGTTGGGCTTGCACAGCCTGCAGAGGTGCCATTTAAAAATGGAAGATTCTGTATGTCTGCTGATATCTTCTCGCTCAGAGGCATTCAGGCACCCGGGAGCTGCTTCAGGGCTGCGTCAGGCCCGAAAGCCCCCTGCCACCTTGCGGAGATAGAATTGCTCTTGGAGCTTGTCTTTCCTCCTCCAAACGTGTCACCTCTTGATTAAAGCAGGTTCCACCTGGGCTGCAGTCAGGCCTGGGAAATGTTACACCCTCCGGAGGGTAGCCAAGGCTGAGTGGTTTGTTCCACTCACGAGTTTTCATGGCGTGGCCTGGGTTTAGATGATTGAAAAGCATTTTTCAGGAAAGCTGGTCAAGAAGCCCTTTAAGTTGGCTTCAGCTGTAGGAAAATGCTCCAGCTGTAGGAAAATACCCAACACTCTGGGTGTGCCGGTTCTCAACCAGGCCTGGAGGCTGCAGAGGCTCTGCCCCTCCCCACATCCCCCTTTTAGTTAATGTATCAAGTGAGAAACAGGCAGCACTTTGGGAGGCTGAGGCAGGAGGATCACTTTCGGACAGGAGTTTGAGACCGGCCAGGGCAACAGAGCAAGACCCCCATCTCTGAAAAGAAATTGGTTTAAAAAGAGAGAAATAGATTTTAATTAGGTTCTCTTTGCATGAATCGTATACAAAGTGAACTCGCAGTGTGTGTCTGCTGGTCAGTGGCGACCAGGTGGCTGTAGCAGGAAGTGTCTGAAGGGCAGAGCAGTTCTACCAGGAGAAATTGCTGCTGTGAAGGAACCCGTCTCCATGTTTACTAAAGCTCAGAGGGAGAGTTTGCCCAGGGACAAGCCCGTGAATGTCCTCTCACCTTCTCTTCATCTGGCCAGCTTCTCGTACGGCCTGTGACCCGTGGAAGGAGAGCGGCGACGTCTCGGACAGCGGCAGCAGCACCACCAGCGGTCACTGGAGCGGGAGCAGTGGCGTCTCCACCCCCTCGCCCCCCCACCCCCAGGCCAGCCCCAAGTATTTGGGGGATGCCTTTGGTTCTCCCCAAACTGATCATGGCTTTGAGACAGATCCTGACCCTTTCCTGTTGGACGAACCAGCTCCACGAAAAAGAAAGGTATGTGATCGCCGTGTGAGTGTGAGCCCAGGCCAGAGTGGATGGTGTCTGTGTGGGGACAGCTAGCCGTGGAGGGGAGGGGACCCTGCAGGCCCTAGATAGTCTTGGGTTCTCTCCCATTTCAGATTTCTTTTACTTTTTTGAGACGGAGTCTTGCTCTATCGCCCAGGCTGGAGTGCAGTGGCCTCGGCTCATTGCAACTTCTGCCTCCTGGGTTCAAGCAGTTCTCCTGCCTCAGCTTCCTGAGTAGCTGGGATTACAGGCACGCACCACCATGCCCAGCTAATTTTCTATTTTTAGTGGAAACAATGTTGGTCAGGCTGGTCTTGAACTCCTGACTTGGTGATCCATCTGCTTCGGCCTCCCAAAGTGTTGGAATCACAGGCGTTAGCCACCACACCTGGCCCCATTTCCGTTTTCTATTGCTGCTTCTGCTACCTGGTGATATTCCCAGGATTCTCCTCCTTTTTAAAGCCTCTTCCGTTTTAGCCTCCACCCCATCCCTGCTTCCTTTCCTGTGTGCCTGCAGACGCCTGTGCTGGAGCGACCTCCAGTGGGGTCTCAGCCACAGCATCAAGCACCACTGTTGGCCGCTAGGACCATCTCTTAGGTTGGGGCTTTCTGGCCCCTGGTTGGAAGTGTCTCTGGTCCCAGAGAACCTCCTTCCTGGAGGCTTTTGTTGGGTCGGGCTGGGGACAGCAGCCAGTTAGAGTTTCCACTGGGTAAGGGTGAGCGCGAGCTAAGGAGAAAGGCATCCCCACTCACCCCATCTTCCTTTCCTCTAGAACTCTGTGAAGGTGATGTACAAGTGCCTGTGGCCAAACTGTGGCAAAGTGCTGCGCTCCATTGTGGGCATCAAAAGACACGTCAAAGCCCTCCACCTCGGGTAGGTTCGAGCCCGGGGCCTCCAGCTAGGGTGGTGTGCAGGGCTCCTCCACCTTGCTGCGTCCCTATAACCCATGGCCCACAGTGCTTTCAGGAACGTGGCTTGCTGGGAACACCCCCTGGGGTCTCTTCCCGGCCCCCTGGGAAAGACATCCTGGTGAGCGTTGTCGCTGTTGACGGGAAGGGAGCTCTGGCCGTCTCAGGGATGTCTTCTTGCCTCGCTGCAGGAAGCCAGATGTTTTAGTTCTGGGTAGAAACAGGGTCATTTGGTTCAGTGGCTGGTGAGACCTCGTTTCCAAGATGTTTAGTGGCCGAACACTGCACCACCGAGTCTTCCTCGGGAGAGGGTCTCTGCGAGCCCCGCCCTGGGGCCTCGGCTGTGTTCTGTGCAGAACAAGCTTGCAGGCTGCAGTGGTAGGAGCTGACTCACAGCCCTGGAGGAGAAAGCGTGACTGCAGGCAGGTGGGGCCCACAGAGGGCTCGTGGTCGTGCTCAGTGTGGGATGCCTCCTGCCAGAGGAGAGGTTGGCACATGTTCTGGGAGAGGATGAGCTGTAGGTGCCAGGAAAAATAATTCCCCTTGGTGTGCAGCACATAATCCTAGTGACACCTATCAGGACCGGGGCTCCCGCGTGTTCTCTTGGGTTCTGTCCCTGGCTTACTGGGTGGCCTCAAGCAATCACTTCCCTCCCCACCATGGTCCCCGCTGGGTTTGAAGGGGGCAGCGCGCCCCTGATAGTGCCATCTCTCCCTCCCACACAGGGACACGGTGGACTCTGACCAGTTCAAGCGGGAGGAGGATTTCTACTACACAGAGGTGCAGATGAAGGAGGAATCCGCTGCTGCTGCTGCTGCTGCGGGGCCCCCTGTCCCTGGGACTCCCACCGCTGAGCCAGCTCCTGCTTCCAGCGTGACTGGCCTGCCCCTGTCCGCTCTTCCACCACCTCTGCACAAAGCCCAGTCCTCCGGCCCAGAACACCTTGGCTCGGAGTCCTCCCTGCCCTCAGGGGCTCTCAGCAAGTCAGCTCCTGGGTCCTTCTGGCACATTCAGGCTGACCATGCATACCAGGTATGGGGCGGGGTGCGCTGGAGGCTCAGGCTCAAAGCTGACTCATCCTGGGCCAGCCTGATCACAGGCCACCGACCACTCTGATGGAAGGCTGAGCCCTTTGGCTAAATTGCTAATCTCCTCTACAAAGAAACAAAAGGAAACTGATTTCACTGCTCCATAAATATGGGAATTCCTGGAGTTCTACATCAGCAACCATCATGAGTGGTTACTAGAAATCTAGCTGAATCCCTATGTAACTGAGGGATGGATTTGGGTAGGGGAATTGTCACACCTCTGCTTAAAAGAGAGGATGGAGTAGTGGAGTTGGGCTTCCCACAGTGATGTCTGGGTCCTAGAATTGTGTTCCATGGACAAACAGTCCAGCACATGCGTTTTGAATACTCACTACAGGCCGAGAATTAGACTAAGTAAGCTTTTCAGGTAGAAGAAGGTTTAGCCCCTGCCCTTGTGGAGGGCGTGGTTCATATCGAGAGAGAAAGGCATGTGTAACTATGGTTAATTATAATAACTGGTCAAAGTACTAATTACTAGAGGCACGAGGTGTTGTAGATACCAGAGGGACCAACCTCTTAAGCCCGTGTGGATGAGAAACCACAGAGAGTGACATTTAGGACGATCTTTGCTGCACGTAGCAGGTACTCAAGGAATATGCAGCCTGCCGTGTGCTGGTGTTTCTTAAAATCCTTTTGTGCCTATTTTATCCATCTCTGGGCCAGCTTGCACATTAGTTATTAAAAGGTATTGCTTCCAATGAGAAAGCCTTTATGAAACGAGCCAGCTCTCCTTGTTAGAAGAGTGGCCACTTAGCAACTTCATGTTTGGCCCGCTTCCAGCGCTAGCTGACCTGTGGGGCCCAGACACGTGGCTGGCGTTTTCACAAATAGCCCTGACCCTGGATACCCAAGAGCAGGCTGCTACTTTCCAGCTGTTGCTGGGGGATCCCATATCTTACCCCGGCCCTGCCCCTGGACACAGAAGGCTTGGGGCCTCTTTTGGCACCTGCTGTGGCATGTTCTCTGTAGGCGATCCAGTTGAGATGTTAAGTCTTCTGCAGTGATTAACTCATGAGGCTAGCACGTACACTAGCTCGGAGGGAAGGGTTCCAGGATGAGATTGGCTCCTCGCAGTAAGGAGGCTACTTCAAAGCGTTGGGTGCTCCAGTGTTGCCCTTGGGAAAGCCGAGTGTGTCCCAGAACTTTGTGATCATTGCACGTATGCAGAGCTGTGCCTTCTGCTGCTGCCCTGAGGCAGTGGGGGTTGTGAGCAGACTCTGAATGCTTCCTGAGCTAGAATCCTGGCTGACGCCCTCATCTTCTGCAGGCTCTGCCGTCCTTCCAGATCCCCGTCTCGCCCCACATCTACACCAGTGTCAGCTGGGCTGCTGCCCCTTCTGCTGCCTGCTCCCTCTCTCCGGTGAGTATGCTGGCAGCTCGCCTGGGGCCCGGTATGGCCGAGGGCTGTCCCACACATCCCAGGGCTGGAGGCCCTCCCTCGGGCACAGGGCACGCGGCCACAGGTCATTGTGGCCATCTTGCCTTCAGCCTCTAAACGTGTTGAAGATTTCTTTGTGCCGCCCCCTCCCCGGCACTCCCCATTTGGCCACAGCCCCTCGAGGAGGTGGAAGGAGGTGCTTGTAGAGGATGCCCAGAGCAAGCAGGTTTCTTGCCAAGAAAATCAGGTGAGGCTGGGTCAGTGCTGGTGCCCGTCAGCCCCAAGTGCCCGTGGGTGTTTAAGGATTTTAATGCTGCGAGGAGAGGAGCAGGGAGAATGTGGAGGCCGCGTGGGATGGGTCAGAAATCTCAAGGCCACGGGGGACAAGGGCCATAGGTGGACCCCAAACTCAGACCAGCGGGAAGTCATTTTGAACTCTGCCTAGCAGGCACCGGTCTTGAGTTTATCCTGCAGGGCGGTGTCATACTGTAAATCACAATGCCAGTGTGCCACGAGGCAGTTTGAGGCTTCCAGGCATGGCAGCTCTGTCTAAGTCCCCTACAGGGAGAACCTCAGAGGGGGCCAGGTCCGGTGGCTCCCCTGCCCTTGTCCTCGGCTGGGTCCTGACTGGCGTGAAGGCCTGCTCCTTCCTCACTCTCCTGCCAAGAGCTCCCCTCTGCTGGAGTGTCCTCCCTGAGAAGGCGCGAGGCCTCCTGCAGCAGAAGGAACTGGGGACGTGTGGCTTGCCTATCTTTTTCCTGACTGTCCCATGCTCACGGCCCCTCTCCCCATGCCCAGGTCCGGAGCCGGTCGCTAAGCTTCAGCGAGCCCCAGCCGCCAGCACCTGCAGTGAAATCTCACCTGATCGTCACTTCTCCACCCCGGGCCCAGAGCGGAGCCAGGTGAGACGTCCATTGTTGTCCCCTGCCTTCTGGTTTCTGTGCCCTGTCTCCAGTGGTGGGGACTCCGACCCCGCCCAGATGAAGTCACCAGGGTTAGTCCCCAGATGGTGGAAGCACCAGATGGGACGACCATTTGGTCGGAGGAGCCTCTGGGCCCTGGTCCTGGTGGCTTTTGCTGGGAGCTGCCCCTTCTGGCCTCTGCTTGTTCTCCCATCCCCGCTCGGTCCACCACCTGTGTGGGACTCCATTCGCCTTCCTCTCTTTCTGCAGGAAAGCCCGAGGGGAGGCCAAGAAGTGCCGCAAGGTGTACGGCATCGAGCACCGGGACCAGTGGTGCACGGCCTGCCGGTGGAAGAAGGCCTGCCAGCGCTTCCTGGACTGAGCTGGCCCGCGGCCTCTGCTCTGCTCCTGCGCTGCCGGCAGCCGCTGACAAGAAGCGGAGGGTCACCAGCTCTCGGCAGATGCCGAAAGAGAAAGAACGGCAGCGCGGAGTTTGGGCTCTGTTGGCGAAGGTGTAACACTTAAAGCAATTTTCTCCCATTACAGGAACAGTTTATTTTTTAAAAAAAGAAACAAAAATATTTTTTTCCCCTCTAAAGTAGGAGAGAGCCAAAACTGACCAAGGCTATTCAGCAGTGAAGCAGTGACCAAAGAATTAACTGCCCTCGTTTCCCACAGCCCCCGCTCTGGGGATTAGCTCGTGCGTAGCAAGAGAAGGAACAGTTCGTTCTGCTTCCTGCTGAGTCCATGAATTCTTTGCTTTCTCAACTCTTCCAGAAAGGACTGTGAGCAAGATGCATTTACTTTTCTTAAAAAAAAACAAAAAAACGAGTTTCTGGCTGATGGGTGACTCAGAGTGGGGGACTGCCTGGCCAGGGAGGCGGAAGAGGGGTTTGCTCTTCTCGGAGGGCGTCTCCTGCCCCCTGGCTGAGCACCCTGCACGGAAGTCAAAGGAAAGCCCCTTCTTGGTGACAGCGACTTAAATCTGGGTTCCTTCAGACATTGGGTTGCTCCCCAACAATTATTAAATGGCTTCTTCTCAAAGCCCAGAGTAAGAGATTTTTTAAAAGACTGTCGCCAAATAGCTGAGCCAAAAGGCTGATCAGAATTCACTTTTTGGAACGTGGCAGTTAAACACTACCTTGAGATTCTCTCCTCTTTCGTCGAGGAAGTCCGTGAGGGTTTGAGCGTCTGGAAACTCTGCTCTTACCTGGGGAAGCGCCCTCCTGCCGCCTCCCTCCGGTTGTGGAAGGGACACCTCAGAAATGCTGTGTTTTCTTTTATGATGTATTCAGAAGCCTTTGCTGGTTAATGTTTCCTTTTATTTGGGTGGCCGGGAGAGACCCAGAGAGGTTCTGGAGGTTCCTTTCGGTCTCCTGGCCCTGCCAGCAATGTCCCCATTGCTGTTTGCTGCCTGAAAGCAGGATGAAGGCGGTCAAGGGGAGCCTTGCACCTGTGAGCTTCAGGATGAGGAAATGACGGGAGGGAGACGTGGGTTTGGATCAGCGGCTGCTGGCATTTCTGCCCGTGGTGTTTCTGGAGCCTGCAGGGATTTATGGGGGACTGGGCTGTGTGCCGGTCGATGAGTGGAGCTGTGCTTGTGGAGAAGGTGGGAGGTCCAGGGAGCTTAGCGCCACACCGACCAGCCGTGCGTGGAGACAGAGGGAGCCATACCTGGACCGCGGGGCATGTTTCTGTTTTGGTGTCTCGCTTTCCTCCCAGCGTGACTTATTTGGGGATTCCTCAGGGCTTGCTGGAATGTGACAGCCTGCTGCCCAGCTGCCTTGGGAACAATTTCTGGCTCTATGTCCCAGCTGTCAGGGACTCAGGGGATCCTACCCAGCCACCTCTCCTGGGACACAGTGTCAGCATCCACCCCTAGGTTGTCATCGAGGCTGTCCTCCCAGTGCTGGGTGAAGATATCTGGACCACCAAGGCTCCCTTGGCCCTTCATGTGGGAAATAGACATGTGCTTTTTAAGGTAAGACACTTTGAGTGTTAAGAAATCTGTAGACCTGGCAATAGGTGGGGAAGGGTGTAGTGCCCTAGGTTGGTGACAGAAGAGACAGGCACTTAAGCACAGGTGTCTTTGGTGACGGGGTGTATTTTTATAACTTAGTAAAAACATGTATGTGGAATTCTGTCTCTTGGTAAAGCTCAAAGCCAGAACAGCCGAGTTGGCACAGGGTTCTCCTCCCTGTCCCTTCAACTTCCTTGAGCATTAAGAGCTGGCAGTTGGTGATGGCATTTCTCGACACCCCTCACTTCCCAGGACCCCTCCCCCCCCAACCCGCTTCCAATCCTCATGGTGAGGTGGGGGAGCATTCTTGACACGTGGGTACTTCAGTCAGGAGGGCCTCCCCCTCCCCTCTCCATCAGTGTTCACTGCCATCTCGTCTTTAGAAAGCTGTTTGAATTCCCCCCATCCCGTTTGGACCGTGTAGATATAACTGGATATACAGATCTTTCTCTTTGTGAGGCCTTTGGTACACAGGGCAGGAGAGGAAGGAGGAGGAAAGGGAGGGAGCCATCCGGAAGCCACGGTGGTTTTGCTTTGTTCTTGTTCTTTGGTTCTGGTGCTACCTTCTCCGCCCGAGCTCTCGCCCTCCCTCCTCCTCCTCAGCCGGCAGCCTCCTTGCTTCCCCTCTGCCCGCACTGCCATCCCGTGGCTGTCTTGCTGGTTCTTCACACGTGCTCCTCTGTTCTCGGGGTTGCTCCATTCATGTCTTCTTGGAGGGTTGAGTCTGGCTGGGGAACCGACCCAGTGATCACGCCTGTGCTCTTCATCTTTATCTCCCTCCTTGCCAGCCCGCCCGGGCAGTGGACGCTGATGGAAGGAGGATGGGCTTTTAGAAACGAACGGGACTGACTTTCAAAGCAGTTACCTTGGGAAACTGTTTATTCCAGCGGTGTGACTTTCTTCAGAACATTTCTTGGAATCACCTTCAGAGTCTGGGGCTGTGTGTTGAGCAGCCGTAAGGATGCCGGACGCTCTTTTAGTGCCCGGAGAGTCCAGCGAATGACGTCTGTGGCCAGGTGAGGTCCCAGGTGCAAAGCAAAAGGACCATTGAAAGTGAGATAGCTTGGATCGAATCATGTGACTTGTAAACTGGTTCAGAAAGCAATTTTGTAATTGCTTTCTGAAAAGCAATTACAAAAAGAAAAAAAGTCAAAAAGGAAAAAAAAGAAAAAAGTATTTTAAGCTGCGGCCACCCTGTCATGAGTCTCTAGCTTGAGTCCTTTGAGAACGATATTCATTCAGTTGTGGAGACTCTGATGTGTTGGGAGAAATCTGTCCTGTTGCTTTCTGGTCATCCCAGGGGTTCTGACTTTACCAGGGGCAAAAAAAAAAAAAAAAAAAAAAAACAGGGAGATAAATCCCATCTGTGAATTTGTCTTATTGGCGCCTTTTCCCTCAGCTGTCTTCCAAGTATTATTTTTACTGTTAAAAAATTTTTTTAAAAAATGTGAAATGTAATGGTTTTACAGCAACAATATGAAATATATTTTATAAGGAATAAAATGGTACCTTGTCTGATTTAACGTATGCCTGTCCATTGCCCCTTCTCCTGCAAAAAATAAGATTCTCACTGTCCTTGTCCTTGGTGTCACACAGATGGTAGCATATCACACTGAAGCAAAGCATGACGTCGATTCGCTTATATTAACAGTAGGTAACGCTTCCCAGTGACTGGCTGAGCACATCCCTGGGTTACCTGTTATATATAACCCATGAGAGAGGGCTGTCATCGTTCCATTTTGCAGATGAGGAGAGTGAGGCACAGAGGTTAAACAACTTGCCTAGTGTTATAAACTGGGAAGTAATGAATGGCACTAGGATTGTAATTCATGCAGTCAGTATTTTCTGCTGCTTTTCTTGACAATGGGGAGCATATTCTTGACTGCATTCCTGAGTCTTGAGCAGCAAGTGATACAAGAAAATCAGTCACACGCTACCTATTGAACACAGTCTGCTCCATCCAGACCTCGGTTCCGGGTGGTGCGATGGCCCAGGTGGCTGGCAGAGCTGGCCCTGGGTGGGAAGGCTGCTGGAAGCAGAAGGCGTCATTCCACCAGGGGCTGCTTGGTGCAGTTTCTGCTGCTGAACTCTGAGAACCACTTAGTGAAGCAGTGACAGGTTCCAGGAAGACCACGTCAGGTACACCAGGCTTGCTGGAGGAAGTTGTTGGAATGTGTTTAAACGTTCAAAGTGTATTTAAAATTAGTTCAAGGTATTGGGGGAGGGGCAGGGCGGGGCGGGGGCGGGAGGCCCGCCAAGATCCTTTCTGCACTGAGTCGTCCTTCTGGTTGGGAGAGGCAGGAGCTGTGGCAACAGGCTCTGGGGAAGAGGGAAGGCAGGGAGGCGGTGAGGAGCTTTGAGGAGTGTGAATGTCTCGAGGTAGATTGCAGGGACCTCTTATCTTGCTGGCCAGTGAGGGTGTCATGCTCTGAGAAGATGCAGACACTTCATTACAGCCTGAGCCAGCCATACCCAGCAGCCTGGAAAGCAGTTTGTCTATTTCCCTCCTTTTTGCCTTTTTTCATATCTTGAGGGTGCAGTGAGGGACTTCCTTCTCCCCTTCTCTGTGTCCTTGTTCCAGCTCATCCCTCTAAGAAGGCCTTGAATAGAACGATCTGTTCTGCATTTGCCAAAGCACTCCCCACCCCCGAAGTTAGCTACCTGCCTTCTCCATTTGCAGCTCACCCCCAAACCCTACTTTTGCAGCTGCCTCAGTGGGTCGAGCCCCCAGCTTTCCAGCTTCTGGTTGGGTTTGGCTGGAGTTTGACAGTCAGGAGGAGAGGGAAGTGGGGGCGTTGAATCCTGGCTGCCACAGTGCATAAGTGGCTGGATTTTTCTACTGAGAGCTCTGGAGAGCTAGTCTTTGTGGGTCCAGGAACTCCTTTCCCCCTCTCAGGGCTCTGCAGCTCCCACCAGGGCACCCCGCATCCCTTGCTGATCTTCTGTAACCCTGCCCACTTGTATAGATGGTTAACTCCCTGACAGACTCGGTCTGGGGTTGCCTGGTGTTTCTCGGCTGGACTCTGACACGTGGCACACCCTAACGTGTGAGGCTGGAGATCAAAGTGGCATCAGCAGGTTTTTCTCTGCCCTGTTCCTTGCTGTGCATCCCAATCCACTGGGCCCAAACTAGCAGGGTCAGCACCACCTGGAGCTTGTTGAAAAGGCAGATTTCTACCATCTGAAATGGGGTGGGGCCAGCAGCCTGTCCCTCTGTGGTGCTGATGTGCACAGGGGTGTGAGAACCCTGCCTTCTCTCTGCCTGTCCATTCACGCAGCCGTGTGCATTCATTTCCTCACCGGCTGCACTGGGATCTGGGCGCTGTGCGCTTTTTACCTCTGCCCCTCGGGAGCCGCAGCACTGGTTGTGTGTGTGTGTTTGTGTGTGTGCAGAGTCTGCTTCCGTCACTTAAAAACAGCAAACCAATTTATTAACCATTTGCTCAGTAGAAGTTTAATGGAGAAATCATTGTTTGAAACAATCAGTCAAAAAGAACAGCTCCTTTACAAACAAGTTATGGCAGTGGTGAGTCAAAGCCCCAGGCTCGATTTCCTATTCCTTTCACCTGCCCCTAGAAGGGGGACGAGGCGGGTGAGCAGGAGAGACGGGGCCATTGCAATGGTAGCTGGAGGAATTACAAAAATACACTCTGATGTAGCAACAGGGCTGTGGTGAAACATGCCAGGGGCTGGGGAGGAACAACCAGACGGGGAGGTTCTGGAGGCAAATGAAGCCTGCTGGGTCTGCAGGTCCTCAGTGCCTTGGGGAAGAAGGAATCCTGGTTCCCAGGCGGCAGGTCTGGGGCTGGACACATGCTGTTTGGGGGATCACCTGGACGCCTGCGGAGACAGAAATAAATGATTACAAAATAGCAAACCTGTTGGTTTATCTGAACTTTTTCTATTCCCCCTAGAGACTGAAGCAGTGAAAAGGAGGCAAAGAAAAGCTGTCAACCCAAAGAAACTGTTTCTAACATAGCCAGAGGGGTCCTCCAGCTCCTCCACATGTCGGCTCCACTGGCCGGACTAGTACACTAAAGGGGAGTCCATGGGCTGTGAAAGGCACGTGACAAGCCCCTTCTGGGGAACAGCCTCCCTGGTGTTCAGAGCCCATGCGAAATAGCATCCTTGTTCTATAGTCCTTTTTTCCAAGTGCTCTTTGAGCCTGATGGCACTGATACCTGAGCACGAATGAATGTGCTGTTTCCACTGCCTAGAAGGGGCACGGCCTGAGGGCAGCAGAAAAGAGGAAGGCAGTATAGGGTCAGGGGAGAGGAAGGCAGACCCAAGAGCAGCTGTGACCAGTTCTGTGTAGAGGTGGGCCTGCACCCCAACGCCTGTCCTTCCTAGGACATCATTACACTTTCTGAATAGGGTTTTTTTTTTTTTTTTTTTTTTGTGACAAAGTTTCTCTCTTGTTGCCCAGGCTGGAGTGCAGTGGCATGATCTTGGCTCACTGCAACCTCCGCCTCCTGGGTTCAAGGGATTCTCCTGCCTCAGCCTCCCAAGTAGCTGAGACTACAGGTGACCGCCACCACACCTGCTAATTTTTATATTTTTAGTAGAGGCAGAGTTTCACTATGTTGACCAGACTGGTCTCAAACTCCTGACCTCAGATGATCCACCCTCCTTGGCTTCCCAAACTGCTGGGATTACAGGCGTGAGCCCCTACGCCCAGCCCTGAATAGGGTTCTTTATCCCATTTCAGTGCAAGGTGGCCCCACTTCTTCCCAGCCTTCTCCCTGTCGATTAGTATCCGATATCGTAGACGTCAAGGACAGCATTGGTAACAAGAGTCCCCCAATATGCAGACATCTTCAAGTGTAAGGCAGGTTGGGTTGTATGTATGTGGATGAAAACAAGGTTGAAGCCGCCCGTCAGACTCCCTCATAAATAACATCCGTATTGGAACTCACCCACCGTGCATGTAGCGGGGAAAGAAACAGAGAGGTGGTTGCAGAAGGAGAAAGGAGAGTCATCAGTAATACCCCAGTGAGCTGGTTAATGTTTCCAGAACTTGACATGTGAGCAGAGCCGCCGACAGAAGCTCCTTCCCGGCTTGGTTTCAGTGCCTCTCAGTTGGAAGCATAACAGATTAGAAAAACCAATGGCCTGGATGGAGGCTCAAATCATTTTTAAAAAACAAATGGATTCCTGTTAATGGACCTGATTTTCAGCTGTGTTTAAGTAAAGAGCATCGTCATCGTTCAGAATGAGACATGAGCTTCAGTGCCCCTGAAGAGACACTTTAAAGAGCAATCTCTTTAAGATGTGAAAGAATTCAACCCATGCTGCTTCTGAACGATTTGTGTTAGGTGCTATGGAGATAAGGCTTAGAAAGAAGCAGGAGGCTTGTGAGGGATCCAAGAGGATGGCTCAAAAGCAGTGCAGGTGAATTCGGGGCCTTTGGAGATGAGTCATGCTGCTAAAATAAACACATCAGCCTTCTCTTCACAACTTAATACATGTGCCCGCATTTGGTAGCGGGCCTCCCTGCAAAGGGGCCGTCTCCGTGCTCAAGTGTGGGCACCAAACGTTAGCAATATGCACTCATGTATCTTCATGAAGGTTATTAGTGATGGCTGCCTCTGACTATGGAACGCAACATAAAACAGCACAGGCAGACATTTTTCTCTTATGCTGTGATTCAGGGAGAAGCCCCACTTGGGTAATGTTTTGGGGTGATGTGGATGAACTGACTGGTTCTTTGGGTTAGGGCAATGACACAGTGTGGAAGTTTGTCCTCTTCCAATTTCATGTTGAGATGTGATCCGCAATGTTGGAGGTGGGCCTAGTGGGCAGTGTTTGGGTTGTGGGGGTGGATCCTTCAGGAATGGCTTGGTGCCCACCCTACGGTAATGAGTTCATGGGAGATGTGGTTGTTGTTAGAGAGGCGGGGACCTCCCCTCTTCCCTCTCTTGCCACTTCTTGCCATGTGGCACGCCAGCTCTCCTTCTGCCATGAGTAAAAGCTCCCCGAGGGCCTCACCAGAAGCAGAAGCTGGTGCTTTGCTTCTTGTGTAGACCGCAGAACCGTGAGCCAAATAAACTTTGTTTATAAAGTACCCAGCCCCAGGTATTCCTTTATAGCAATGCAAAATAGATGAATACAGGCAAGTTTCTTAGCTCTTTAAGGAGATGTGGAGGATTCTGCAGATGATCGTATTCCCGTATACAAATTAGGGCACATAGCCTTGATGGTGGGGACTTCTCTACATTTTCAGAAAATTCCACCGTCCTAGTTTGTCAGTGCCACTCAAAGTGATGTATTAGTCGAAGGCCTAAGGAAAGGTGGGTTTTGAATCACCACGTAATCAATCAGGTGTCTTTGTTGTTGTTGAGATGGAGTTTCACTCTCATTGCCCAGGCTGGAGTGCAATGGCACCATCTCGGCTCACTGCATCCTCTGCCTCCTGAGTTCAAGTGATTCTCCTGCCTCAGCCTCCTGAGTAGCTGGGATTACAGGTGCACGACATCATGCAGCTGATTTTGTATTTTTAGTAGATGCGGGGTTTCTCCATGTTGGTCAGGCTGGTCTTGAACTCCTGACCTCAGGTGATCCGCCCACCTCAGCCCCCCAAAGTGCTGGGATTACAGGCATGCGCCACCGCGCCTGGCCTTGATTAGAGTCTTTGATGTATATTATTAGACATGTAGACTTGTATCAGGTGCCTTAGAGGGTAGAAACAGAGCAGAAGAAAGAGAACGAGGAAAAAAAGAGAGAGGAATAAAAGCAAGCCAGCTAACAAAACTGAGACCAAAATGGCACACTGGGAAGACGACGAACCCCTGTAGTCTGTATTCTAGTAACTACTAGGTCCATTGGCCAAATTCTCCATGTCTTGCTCAGTAATGATACCAATGACTACAGGGATTCAGTCCCTCTCTGGCAAGGTGGCAGGATCGACAAATGGCTTGTGGACAGAGGAAGAGCAGAAACCGCAACTCCTGATAGTAACAAGAACTCCTGGCCAGGCAAAATGGGAAACGTAAATGTTTCCACTGAGCCAGGCACCCCAAGACCTGGGGAAAGGCGAGGGATAGGTCAGCCTTCTTTGAAGGTGAAGTAGCACCATCATAACTGTAGTTACTGGACTCTGCGAATGGCTGAGAGTAGGTCCCGCTCCTGGTGTTTAGAGAGACCGTCTAGAGGACAGGTGAGCTGACTGGTTGCCATGGCAACCGGGTGGGAGTATTGGTCCACTTAACTGTCCCCACGGTAACTAAGCTTCTGGGGAGTGATAGAGGAATTAGTTATCTTAACATACTACTCTTATCCCCATGGTAACCAGTCTTTAGCCCGGAGTGGTCGGCTTCACAATCAGAGGAAAATCTTTGCTCCTTAGAGAAAGGGTGGGCTGACTCCTTGAGAGGGTGTGTGTGCATGTGTTTGGGGATGATCCTCGGGGTGTGTGTGTTTGGGGATGATCCTCGAGGGTGTCTGTGTGTGTGGGGCGGGGGGATGATTCTTGAGAGGATGTGTGTGTGTGTGTATGAATGAATGTGCTTCCAGGCCTGGGAGCAAGGTTAAGATGGTGTGTGAGGTCTCTCCTTGCCCCCAGTTTATTGGTGCCCAACTCACTCATGGGTTGCAGTGGCCGGTACAGCTGGGAGGAGCGCCCCTTCCGGCTACACATTACCATTCTGGTGCAGGGTGCGCCGGCGCTGGCTGGACTGCATGCTCAGGACCAAGTACTGCCTCATAAACTCACTGAACCGCTTCTGGTTGGCCAACTTCCGGGCTGACTTCCGGGCCCCAGTGAAGCCCCCAAATCTCTTCTGCAGCTGCTTCTGCTGCATCTCAGCAGCCTCCTCCATGCCAGGCTCGGGCTCTTCAGGCTCCTGGAAAAGGCTCTGGACACGGGGCATTCGCCGCAGATGCTGCATCTCTGAGGCTCTGGGCTGGTAGAGAGCGGCCGCCACGTGCTCTGGGGCAGCTGGGCTGAGCTGCCAGGAGCTCCTGGCCATGACCTTGGTGCATGGAGTCCAGAGGGGACTGGGGAAGACCTTCTCTTCACACTCGAGGATGCACAGCTGCAAAGATGGGGTGAGAGGAGGGGAGAAGGAACAAGGACCTCTGTTAGTCCAAGGCGAGGGAGGAGATCCGGCCCTCTGTCGGCTGTACCTGCACCAATGCAAGGGCTTCCGAAGCATCTAATGTATCAAATAACGTGCAGCAGTTTTACACAGGTTTCTGGGTTCACAGAATTTCAGAATTGGAAAGAAACAGAATCATCTGACCCAGCTCCATCATTTTAAAAGAAGCAGGGCTCAGAGAGGTGAGTGCAACTTGCTCTGGTGTCACAACACGTTTACAATAGCCAGTTAACACAGGATCAGTGTGCCCAGCACCACACCCTGTTATATCTTTGGTCGGGTTTTTGGAGCTGAGCTCAGCTCATGACTGTCACTCATAAAGAATTTTATTTCGTTCTCTCCTCAGGCTTGTGGAAGGTCAGATGGGTTAAAGAAATTGGGATGTGAAAGTATGTAGTCAAATCTGCATGTCTATTTTAAGGTCACTGTGTAAAAATCTACCAGGGTGTTGTTAATTTTTCATCCGGTCCATCAGATGTGAGCCCAGCAGACCCGCCTGGCCCCTGGGAATGCTCTGCTCTGCCTCTCCTGCCCACGCTGGACCACGCTGTTTCTCTAGCCACTCTTGGCTGGTTCTGACCTTGGTCCCCCACCTCCCTCATTCTTGGTTCTGACTGGGCCTCCTGGAAGCCTCTGCCCCCAGCTTTTCTTTCTATTTGCTATTTTGGCTTCACCCATAATTTCAATCCAGGTGTCTGGTCTTAGCCAGCTAGCTGGAAACCCCACTTCAACCTGGCCTTGGGGCTTCGAGTCAGCAGGCAGAGCCCCTCGTCGTAGCGTGGAGCTCCTGCCTGCCTTCCAGGGCTCCTTCTAGGGCAGAAGGTACAACTGACCAGCCCGTATCCATCTTCCCTTCTCCTTATGCACAGAACACTATTTTATTCCTAAAGGCAACACGTACATTTCCCCCGCTTCCTTAGAGCTGTAAGTAGCTGACGACATTAAAAATGGAAGTGTAATCCCAGCACTTTGGGAAGCCAAAACAGGCAGATCACTTGAGGCTAGGAGTTTGAGACCAGCCTGACCAACATGTCGAAAACCCTTCTCTACTAAAAATACAAAACTTAGATGGGTGTGGTGGTGGGTGCCTGTAATCCCAGCTACTGGAGAGGCTGAAGCAGAAGACTTGCTTGAACCTGGGAGGTGGAGGTTGCAATGAGCTGAGAGCATGCCGCTGCACTCCAGCCTGAGTGAACAGAGTGAGACTCTGCCTCAGAAATAAAAAAAAAGGAAGTGATCAGGTATCAGGTGGGTTTCCAAGAAAGTAGGAGACTGACTTAGGTGGGAAGAACGTCCCGTTTTCCTCTTCCTCCAACTTTCTTCTTGGAATGTGGACATTTTGGGTGACACCGTGTATGCCATCTAGAAACCATGCAGCGACTCAGAGGATGGCAGTCATGGCCTAGAAGCTGCCGACTGGCAGGGAAGAGAGAGGAGACTGGAGCTGCCACCACAGCCCTGGGCTGTCCCCTCCTCACTCCTTGTGATGAACTGAATCTCTGTCGATTTCAGCCACTGTCACTTTAGGTGTTTGTTACTAGCAGGTGAATTTCATTCTTATCTGATACTCTAGTCCTTCTGCTTGGCCTCTTGTTCCCTGTCTCTGAGTGGCACCTCATTCCCCAGTTGACTCAGATTTCAAGCCCTGGGCATATCTTTTCCTCCCTTCTCCCTGCCCCTATCCCTCCAGTCTACAGGTCTGTCCCTCCTCCCACTCCCTCTGCCACCGCCTAAGTGCCTCTTAGGTGGAGCAGGTTCCTCACTCATCTCTGCATCTCTGGTGTTTGCCACTGTCATCAATGTGGTACCCCTGGCAGAATGCCCTTTCTGAAGAATAACTGATCATGCCATTACCTTGCCCACAACTAATTGTTTATCTTATCCATAAAACAGCGACGAACTCTGGAGCAGAGCATTCAAATCCCTCTACAACCTGGCCCGGCCATCATCTCCGTCTTATATCCTATTCTTCATCACACACCCCCTGAGGCCTATGAGGCTGTTCCTAGCACCTTGAATACCACAAAGCTCCTCCCACCCACACACCTTTCTCTCTGTCCCTTAGATGCAGTGACCTCCTTGCATCCTTTCCTCCATCCTTTGGGACCCAGACAAGCTCCAGTGCTGCCCTTCTCTGATACCTTCTCGTTCCCTGGCAAGAATCGCTCTCTCCTGCCTTTGTGTTCCCACAGAACTTTGTATTCTTCTTGTGGAAATGTTAATGCTTTATGTCATTAAATTGTAATACCTTCTCTTTTTTTTTTTTTTGAGACGGAGTCTTGCTCTGTAGTCCAGGCTGGAGTGCAGTGGCACGATCTCGGCTCACTGCAACCTCCGCCTCCCAGGTTCAAGCGATTCTCCTGCTTTAGCCTCACCAAGCAGCTGGGACTGCAGGTGTATGCCACCACACCCAGGTAATTTTTGCATTTTTAGTACAGACAGGGTTTTACCATATTGGCCAGGCTGGTCTTGAACTCCTGACCTGGTGATCCACCCACCTCAGCCTCCCAAAGTGCTGGAATTACAGGCATGAGCCACTGCGCCTGGCCATTTGCACTGCCTTCTAAGGCAGAATATGACAAGTTAGGGACCGAATCTTATGTTTGAATCCCTTGCAGCAGTCTTCTCCTTCCAGTAAAGAGTAGGGTTTCAGTAGAGGTTTATTGAGCTGAGCTGAATGAATCAAGAAGTCGCTTTATATTTAGCTAAGAGTGCAAAAGGAAGGGAAGGAAAAGAGATGAGAAAGAGTCCCTGGAGGAACAGGGATCGCAGCTAGTTGTGACCAGGACTGGAACACCCGCAGTGCTTAGCATGCACACTGCTGCAGCAGCTCCTGTCACCTTGCTGCCACCCTTTGCTTATCTGATTACTCGGCTGTCCCATCAGTCCAGGATTCTTTTATTCTTTTTTATTCTTTTTTCCCCCCTTTTTTGGAGACAGAGACCACACCTGGTCTGAAGGGTCCCACCCTTTGATGTGAGTCCCAATCATCTGCAGAGCTTTTAAAAACACAGAATTTCAAGACTCAACTAAATCGCTGAAGAATAGAACCAGGGATTAAAACCTATTTTTATAAAGGAATTAAAAACTTAATTTTACAAAGGTCAGGTAATTCCGATATTTGCCTGGGTTTGCAAATCACGAATGTAATTCAGTCTTTGCATTTTATGATGCGGTTCAGTACTTTGTCCAGAACGACACGGTTAGATAACAGTATAAAGATGCCTTGTGGCCGACCCAGACTCTGCTCAGCTCTCTCTGTGGGCCTGCAATATGAAATAGTGGCAATTTATGCAAGAAGGATTCTACGAGACCAAGAGCTGAGGTTTGGATGAGCGGATTGCCCAGATTCCAATGGACTGGAGCGGGCAGGTGGGGACTGGGTCTGGCACGAGTGTTCCTTTCCTTCCCTGGTGGGGTTTCCGAGGAGCAACCTGTCCAAGTCCACCTGGTAGTCACAGGAGGTGACACTGGCCCCTAGTGATGCTCAAGCCATGGTTTTTCTGAGCTGCCTTTTCATTTAGCTTTTGCTCAGAGATATTTAACACATGGAACCTAGTTGCTGCGAGAATGACCTTAGCAGGGAGATGCAGGGAACTGCTTTTTCACACTTGCGATGTTACTGATTATAAAACATGATAGGTAACTTCCACAGATAGGGAGGGCTGCCTTAAAAACAGTGGAGTTGCAAACTTCTGGAGTATTCTATAAGAATTGCTACTGTACTGGGCATAGTGGCTCACGCCTATGATCCCAGTACTTTAGGAGGCCAAGGAAGGAAGCTCCTTTGAGTCCAGGAGTTTGCGAGCAGCCTGGGCAACATAGGGAGACCTTGTCTCTATAAAAATAAAAATGTTAGCGGGGTGTGGTGGTGCATACCTGCAGTTCCAGCTACTTGGGAGGCTAAGGTGGGAGGACTGCTTGAGCCTGGGAGGTCAAGGCTACAGTGAGCTGAGATTGCTCCACTGCACTCCAGCCTTGGCAACAGAGCAGAACTCTGTCTCAAAGAAAAAAAAAATGCTACTGGAGTTTGTTAGAATGCAAAGTTTTAGCCAACAGCATTGGAGATTCTGATTCGCTAAGTCAAGGGTGGGGCCCAGAAATTTGCCTTTTCAGCCACAGCCCGGGTGATTCTGAGGATGGATGATACTTGGAGACCTGCTTTGGAACTTTCTCTGAGGAGGAAGGAGCCATCATGGAACATGGTTATAGACTCTTACAGAGAAAGGGTCACTTGGGTCTGTACTTAGCCTGCTCCTGAAATACTTTGAAGAAAACCAGCCAGAATCAACATCTAGTATATTCTTTCAGATCAGAATCCTCTTGAGTTAGTACTTGACAGAAGTGGATCTCAACTGGGAGCAATTTTGCCTGCCCAGGGGCCATTTGGCAACATCCGGAGACATTGCTGGTTGTCAGAAGTGTGTGTGTGTGTGTGTGTGTGTGTGTGTGTGTGTGTGTGAATGGCACCAAAATGCCCAGGACAGCCCCACAACAATTCCCCGGTCAAAAGTGCCCATAGTGGCAAGTGTGAGAAACTCAGCTCTACAAAGTCAACAGGGATGCCGAGAAGTGTGGTGGGCCCTGGGAAAGCCATCGAGGCAGAGTGGTGGAGCTGTGCCTTTGAGCACGCTTGATCCAGTCCTGGCAGAATAGGAGCCCCAAACTGCTTGTGGAATTGTTCTGGTCCGTCAGTGTACAGAGACAGGTGGGAGAGTTGATAACCCTGGAGGTGCTTCCATCTTCTTTGAGCCCCTGGCTTTCTAAGCCCAGATGGTGATTAGATTTTGTGTCAGTCAGAGAAAATGAAATTCTGTGATCAAACCAGATGCCACAGTCCATACCCAGACTTGATGCACTGTTAGATCAATTAGATGCTAACAAAATCACCTTAATTCTTGATTTAGGAGAGGATTTTGGGCAAATAGGAGGAAGCCAAATTCATAACAGCATTTGTAGCACCAGATGGACATAGGAGCTTAATGCCTGACCCTCTGGTGTGCGGAACTCACCAGCCTTTTTCCAGAGATGGGTTAATGGCTTATTAAGTGAGCTGGACACGTTTTGGCAGCCCATTCTGATGGCATTGCTATATTAAGCCAGAATGCTTATGGGCATCTGGAGTCTCGGAATGTTGCCAAATTGATCTGTAAAGACGGGCTTATGGGGAAAGTGAGTGAAGGGCCATTTGGGTTTCTGGGCTCAAAGATTAGGGTACAAAGTGGGAAACAGGCACACGAACCCATTGGAGATAAAGAAGCTCATAAACGTGGTCAAGTTTCTGCCACTAAAGAGTTAAACCACTTCTGACGGAGAGACATTTGGGAGGTACCTGCTTTGGGAGGTCCCGCTAGAGTATCTGAGGACAAATACAGCAGATGAATGGAACAGAAGACAAATGTATAAGGAACTCCTACTGCAAGTCACCTCATTAGAGGTTTCATTTAATGAAGATGGAAATACCAGAAGGTAGTTTCTTTTGCAACAGAATTTTAGGGAATTATATTGATTGATTGAGACAGTCTCACTTTGTCCCCGAGGCTGGAGTGCAGTGGCATGATCTCAGCTCACTGCAACCTCTGCCTCCTGGGTTTAAGTGATTCTCATGCCTCAGCCTCCTGAGTAGCTGGGATTACAGGCACGCACCACCACGCCCAGCTAATTTTTGTATTTTTAGTAGAGACAGGGTTTTGCCTTTTTGACCAGGCTGGTCTTGAACTCCTAGCCTCCAGTGATCCACCCACTTTGGCCTCCCAAAGTGCTGGGATTGCAGGTATAAGCCACTGTACCAGGCCAAGTTTTAGGGAGTTTCAAGTAAATTTCCCCATACTCTTACTTGGGGATTAGTTGCCTTATTTCTTGTCTCTAAAACCACTTAGTGAATGGTTTTTTCTCCTTGAGCTGATGAAGTAAGTAGCATTCACAATGAGGTTAAAGGCCAGGATGTTGCAATGGGTTTGGATGTGAGTCATTTACAAACCAAAATTATAGTCCAACAATAAGCCAGCCATTCTTGAGTAGTCTACTAGGAGCATAAATAAAAAGTTTCTTCATGAAGCCAAGGATCCAGAGGACCCTGGGAATAGGGTTATGTAATTTGAGGGAAGTGACCCTTGCTGAAATATGAGTCCCCCAATCAGTCACAGAATGGGTGTAGTCCAGGGCTGCCAGATTTGGAAATGGGATTTGAGTGCCTACATTCTAGGCACTTCATTAAACTTAGGTTAAAAGTGAATACAAACTAGAAACAAAACAAGCAGGCAGCCACATCCTCTGGGGGGTGAGTGGGCACTGCGAAGGGTTAGTCCCCCCATTGTGAGGCTTTATGTGTCCATTTTCTGACTTGTTTCTTTCTTTCTTTCTTTCTTTCTTTTTTTTTTTTTTTCAAGATGGGGTTTCACCAGGTTGGCTGGGCTGATCTTGAACTCCCAACCTCAGGTGATCTGCCTGCCTTGGCCTCCAAAGTGCTTGGATGAGTGCGTGGTGAGCCACCACGCCCGGCCGCTGACTTGTTTCAAAGAAATAAAGCTAAGAACGTTGTCTAGACCCCAGATATTTAAGATGCTATGGAGAGATGGAGACATGCTCCAAAGTTTTGAGTCTCTGAAAGATGCAAACGTAAAACCTTTACAGAGACTGCAGCAGACGTGCCTAGGAGGAGACTAATGATCTTAGAATCTTCCAGTTTCCACAGGGATGGGATGTGTTTATTGAACTATGCTCTGTGCCACACACCGTGCTGCATGCTGGGAGACTTGGATCCATCAGCAAAGAAAGTTCTCTCTAGATGGGGAGAGAGAGTCCTTCAGATATGACTAACAATTAGAAACAAGGATGGAGGGCCCACTCCACTGGGGTCAGTGGGGAATCAGTGCAGTGTTTTCTTACAGGGAACAGTTAATCTGGGATTTGAAGTGCGTGTAGGATTTATGAATTGGGGAGGAGGCCGAGGCAGGCACGATGGCAGAACAGGAAGAGAAGGCAGATTTCCTAGGAACTATGGAAAGTGATTGGGAATGTGGGTCTGGAGTCCAAGAGAGAGGAGGTCAGGAGGGGGCTTCTAGGAGTTTTCTGCAGCCTGAGGGAAGCGGAATGCCTGGGATATATGGGCGGGTTCTCAGAGGGAGGTGAAAAGCAGAGAATCTTGATGATCCTTTATGTGTAGGGAGTGTGGAGAGGACAAGGAACCAACGCAGTAGCCAGAGTAGGGAAGAGAATGAAGCACGTGGACAGAGAGAGGGCTGAGGTTCCTGAAGGAGGGAATTACCAGCAGGGTAAGAGCTCAGAGAGAAACATGGTGGAGGAATAAGAGAAGAGGTTTATTGTAACCACTTTACCGAAGGCCAACCATAGATGATATTCACAGAAAGTAATAATGTTAATAACATAGGAAACCGATCCTAGTATAATATAGTAAGTGAATTGGTTAGCTGGAGATGCCCTGGGTGGTTAAGACTGGTTGGAAAATGGGCTTGCAAACCACTGAGCCCAGGAGCTTGGAGCTTTAGCTCTGCTGGGTTTTGTCTCCTCCTGTTACCTGGAGGTAGGAGATACCAGGATGCATTAGTTTCCCCAAATACTGGTTTCTTCATTTGTATATTTGCCTTAAGGAACTGTGGTGCTTCTGGTTGTTTTGAAAGGTTAAAGGGTTTAAAAGATGGCATCTTTTGAAGGAAGTTATGTGACTATAAAGTAAGAAACAATTGAGCTATACTGGATTTATAGGAGAGGAGTAACTAGACTGAAATGTAGGTAGTTGACAAAGCAATTTACTTAATGAAGAAAAAGTTAATATTGGATTCATATCTTACGTTGGAAATTTAAAATATAAGAGAGCATTTTGGCACCGAGGGGTTCACTGTTGAATTATCTGAAATATCAAAAATAAAGGACACATGCATGTTCAATGGTTAAACAAATTACATGGTCCTTCTGTCTCCACAGGAGACTGGTTTCAGGAGGCTAAACCTGTAGATGCTCAAGTCCCTTATATAAAACGGCTATGCGGCCAGGCATGGTGGCTCACACCTGTAATCCCAGCACTTGGGGAGGACAAAGTGGGTGGATCAGTTGAGGTAAGGAGTTTTGAGACTAGCCTGGCCAATGTGTGAAACCCCACCTCTACTAAAAATACAAAAAAATAGCAGGGGTGTGGTGGCAGGCACCTGTAATCCCAGTACTCCAGAGGCTGAGATGGAGGGACTGCTTGACCCTGGGAGGTGGAAGCTGCAGTGAGCTAAGATTGTACCATTGCACTCTAGCCTGAGTGACAGAGTGACACTCTGTTTCAAAAAAATAATAATAATAAATAAATAAAATGGCTATGCACATCCTCCTGTATACTTTAAATCATCTCTAGATTACTTATAATACTTAGTATAATGTAAATGCTATGTAGTTGTTATGCTGTATTGTTTTATTTGTATTTTTTTTATTGATATATTATTTTTGATTTTTTTCTGATTATTTTCTATCCATGGTTAGTTGAATCCTTGAATGTGAAACCTGTGGATACAGAGGGCCAACTGTAGACTATGTTCATGGAAAGAAATTATAACATGGGAAAGGTGTCTTGGTTTAATACAGTAAGTGAAAAAAAGTAGGATTCTTTCTCTGACGGGTGTACTTGAGAGTGATTTTAATTTTTCTATTTTTTATACCTTTCTGAATTTGCCAAACTCTCTGAAATGAGTAGCACTATTTTATCCTTGGGAACAACTTGGCATCCTAGGCAGGGCTCTTCCTGCAAGTGGTAAGGTGGAAAGATTGCAGGGTTCTGGGTCGGAAGAGGCAGCTCCAGTCTGCATCTGTTTCCTACAGGACATGTGATGCTGGGCAAGTCCTCTGACCTCGGGAGAGGCCTTAGCTTCTCACTCAAAGTCTGCTCTGGAGTAGGGAGGGAGGGGGTAGTCAGGGAGGAGGACAGCCTCTCTGCCTTGCCTCCAGGAGACGTACCTCCAGGTCGAAGCCATCCAGGGCTGGGCGGAGCTTCTCCTGGCATGTGAGACAGTTCCTCTGACAACTGCTGAACACACTGGAGAAGAGGCTGAGCAGCAGCAGGTCACAAAGCAGGACTTTCATGGTGCAGGAGCAGGAGCAGAAAGCAGGTGCTGGAACACACAGGAAGGAGCACGGTAGTGAGTACAGACATTCTTGGGGGGCTGCTCAGGGCCAGAGACCCCAACCCAGGGGATGAGAAAAGACCCTCCTCTGCTTTCTCTGGGCGGACAGCAGCAGGGGCCTGAGATTCACTTTCCAGAGGTGTACACTGTCAAGGCCATAGGCGACCTGGTCCTGTCACCCAAGCTGTGTTCACGCAGAGGCTTGTTTGTGTCTGGGTTCCTGAGGAGGGCACCCCTGTGATTCCTGCCACCTGCTGGCCTCAACACCACAAGGGCACTTTTGGGAGCAGCTGTGCAGTGGCAGAGATGGCTTTCTTGGAAGCTGAAGGCATGGCTTTGCAGCTTACCAGCATGTGACATTAAATCAACCTCTTTGAGCCCTGGTTTTCATAGCCCATAAAAGGGGAATGGTGGCACCCACCTTGTCACAGGCCTATTGTGAAGAGGAAATGAAATACGTAACGGGAGTTTTTTAAAGTGCCGTGCAAAAGTCAGAGGAGTAAAACATGAGATTTATTAATGACTCAGTGCCTTAGGAGGATGAAAATCCTCCTGGCCTTCCCTGCTGTAGCCAGGAATGCCCCCAACTATCCTACACCTTGAATTCTCTCTTCCTGCATGTCCTTTGTCTCTTAGCCCTGCTAGATGTGAGCTAGTGCTATGGTCTATCTCTGTCTTCCTAAAATTCCTATGGTGAAATCCTAACCTCCAAGGTGATGGAATTAAGAGATGGGACCTTTGGGCCAGGCTCAGTGGCTTACACTGTAATCCCAGCACTTTGGGAGGCTGGGGTGGGTAGATCATTTGAGGTCAGGAGTTCGAGACCAGCCTGGCCAACATGGCAAAACCCAGTCTTTACTAAAAATGGTGTGGTGGTATGCACCTATAATCCTAGCTACTTGGGAGGCTGAGGTGAAAGGATTGCTTGAACCCAGGAGGTTAAGGTTGCGGTGAGCCGAGATCATGCCATTGCACTCTAGCCTGGTTGACAGAGAGAGACTCAGTCTCAAAAAAAAAAAGAGAGAGAGAGACTTGAGCCCTTTTGAATGAGATTAATAAACGAGGCCTGAGAGAGCTAGCTAGTTCCTTCTACTACTTGAGGACACAGCAAAAAGCCAAAATCTAAGAACCAGGAAATAGACCCTCACCAGACACTGAATCTGCAGGCATCTTGATCTCCAACTTCCCAGCCTCCAGGACAGTGAGAAAGAAATTTCTGTTGTTGATGGGACATGCTGGCTCACACCTGTAATCTCAGCACTTTGGGAGGCTGAGGGGCAGGCGGATCACTAGAGGTCAGGAGTTTGAGACCAGCCTGGCCAACATGGCGAAACCCCATTGCTACTAAGAATATAAAAATTAGCTGGAAATTGCTTGAACCCAGGAGACGGAGTTTGCAGTGAGCTGAGACCAGGCCACTGCACTCTGGCTTGGGTGACAGAGCAAGATCCACCTCAAAAAAAAAAAAAGAAAGAAATTTCTGTGTTTCTAAGCTACCCAGTCTATGCTCTGTTGTTACAGCAGCCTGGATAGACTAAGACCATTGGCTTTCCGAGCAAAAGGCCATGTGATTCACCTTGGCATTCCATGCCAAGCACAGGCCCTGGCACGTGGAACTTGCTATTAAAAATTGAATGAAGGAACTATTCTAAGACAGCAGCTCCAAAGATTGGTTGGTTAGATCAGTGGTTTGCAATCTTATGTCGAATTGCCTGAAAGGCATGCAGTTTTCACTATTCCTCCTTGAAACTTATTTTTTGATCAAGCCTGAATCAGAAAGATGCTTCCTTGGACTCTATCATTTTGGGTCCCCGTAGAACCATCTTTACTTGGAGGATTAAATGGAAACGGAACAAAGAACTTTCTAGAAACATAAATGTTCTTGATTGAAGTCACAAGGGTGTATCCATTTGCCAAAACCCATTGAGTTGTACATTTATTCTGTGCATTTCACTGTATGCAGCTTTTCCCTTAAAAAAAGAGTTCAGTGTAGAAGAGCAAAAACGACTGCCTTTATTGCTTTGTCATCAGATGATACTGAGGAAGTGTAGAAGGTTTTGCCACTCCAATGCACCCTGCAGACCAGCTGGAATCTTGTTAGAAATGCAGATTCTTGGGCCCCACCCCAGAACCACTGAATGAGGATCTGCATGTCTTTTTGATTGTTTCAGACACTCTTGCTCTGTCACCTGGGCTGCAGTGCAGTGGCATGATCTTGGCTTACTGCAACCTTCCAGGTTCGAGAGATTCTCAGGTCTCAAGTAGCTGGCATTATAGGTGCACACCACCACGACTGGCTAGTTTTTGTATTTTTAGTGGAGACAAGGTTCCACCATGTTGGCCAGGCTGGTCTCGAATTCCTGACCTCGTGATCTGCCCGCCTCAACTTTCCAAAGTGCTAGGATTACAGGTATGCGCTACCGGGCTCAGCTAATTTTTTGTAAGGATCTGCATTTTTTAGCAAGATTCCCAGGTGACTTATATTCACGCCAAAGTTTAGGAAGTGCTAGTATGAAAAAGACGGGATCAAAGAAGGGACCTGCAGCTAAGGTCACCCGAGGACCATGTCAGGAGCCCACCCTAGTCCTCGTGCATCATCAAAGCATTTCATACTGAGGATGACAGCTACTAGGGTGCTCAATAAGTGTTTGTTAAATTAACGAGTTGCCTTTTCATTTGAGACGGTCTTGCTCTGTTGCCCAGGCTGGTGCTCAGCGGTGCAATGATGGCTCACTGCAGCCTTGAACTCCTGGGCTCAAACAATCCTCCCCCTCAGCCTTCCAAGTTGCTGGGAGGATTGCTTGAGCCCAGGATGCTTGGCTAGTTTTTAAATTTGTAGCACAAGTGAGGTCTCGTCATATTGGCCAGGCTGGTCTCGAACTCCTGGCCTCAAGTGATCCTCCCACCTTGGCCTCCCAAAGTGTTGGGATTACAGGCATAAGCCACTGCACCTGGCCAATGAATTCACATTTGAGATGGATTTTTGAAACAAATCATGAACACAGTGCCTATTTAAATGTATTGCAGATGCATTTGAGATGAATTTTTCTTCTCTATCCCAAGGACCAGGGCTTTAGTTGAGATTTATTGTCTTGGTTATTGTAATGGCCTCCTAATTAGTCCACCTAATGATCTGGCTTCCCTCCAAGCTTGCCATCTCCAATCTGATGATGTCACTTCATATTTAAACTAATTCTGTAACCTCATTGCTGTCGGGAGGAGTTCCAAGGACTCAGCACCGACTCCTGCCTCATTTCCTAGCACCTGACCTTGCACAGCCTCTAGTCTCAGCGAATCATGTATAGGTCCCAACTGTATCAGGCTCTTAATATCTTTTTTTTTTTTTGAGACAGAGTCTCGCTCTGTCACCCAGGCTGGAGTGCAGTGGCACAATCTTGGCTCACTGTAACCTCTGCCTTCTGGGTTCAGGTGATTCTCGTGCCTCAGGCTCCTGAGTAGCTAGGATTACAGGTACACACCATCATATCTGGCTGATTTTTGTGTTTTTAGTAGAGACAGGGCTTCACCATGTTGGCCAGGCTGGTCTCGAACTCTTGACCTCAAGTGAGTTGCCTACCTTGGCCTCCCAAAGTGCTGGAATTACAGCCGTGAGCCACAGCGCCTGGCCTCTTAATGTCTTTTTATCTTGGCACTTGCTGTTCCCTCTGCCTAGAATATCCTTCTCCAACTCATCCTTCACACACACCTCAAGCATCAGCCCTTCTGGGAAGCCATGTCCACCCCCTGGTCTGAGTTAGATATCAGTCTCCTCTGCTGCCTGGCATCTGGAAGAGCACGTCATAGTGGGAGGCCAGCAAGCCTCGGGGGCCCCATCCATCAACACAGACACAACAGACCCAAGCTGTGGCGATACGCACTTTCCCATCTGTTGATGACTACAGACTGCCTGGTTCCGATCGCAGCTCTGCAGTCTGCTAGCTGTACTTGACCTCTCCTTTCCTCATCTGCACGAATGGGATGAAATCAGTACCCATCTCAGAGGATGATTAGTGGGTTAATGTTTGTAATCAATTAAAATCGCAATAAGAACTATATATGAGAAAGAAGAGAAGAAACGAGTCCTGCACATAGCATTCACTCTATAACACTCTTTTTTTTTTAAACAGAGTTTCACTCTGTTGCTCAGGCTGGAGGGCAGTGGCACAATCTCAGCTCACAGCAACCTTCACCTCCCAGGTTCAAGCAAGTCTCCTGCCTCAGCCTCCCAAATAGCTGGGACCCATAGGCGCCCACCACCACTCCCAGCTAATTTTTGTATTATTAGTAGAGATGAGTTTCACCATGTTGGCCAAGCTGGTCTTGAACCCCTGATCTCAGGTGATCCACCCACGTTGGCCTCCCAAAGTGCTAGGATTACATACATGAGCCACCATGCCTGGCCTTACATTTCTCACGCTACTAAGTTTCTGTCTTTCTAGATAGACATTCTTGTAGAAGAATTTGTCCCAAACAGAGTGGCTGTGCCCTCTACAGCCACATGGTGGCAGTAGCTGTATGTCGCAGAAGAAAGGGAAGGGAGGAGAAAAGGGACCGTTTCCTTCCTAATGGGAGGTTGTAATACAGAATGTGTACATAGGCTGAGGTGACTAGCTGTGACAGATGTTAGCGAAATGCTCTCTAGCTGAGGTTTTTCTAGGAACTTCATTAACCGGGGCAACTTGCACATTCAGGAAAGGTTGGCTGGTTTGGCTGATGTTTGCCATCTCAAATTCCGGGTAAATGGGATTCAGGGGCCAGGTGAAAAAGGAAGATGAGCTTCTGGGACACTTAGTGCGTGCTTCATTTGATAACCTTCCTGCAGGTGAAAGTGGGGCCCCGCAGCTTGGCACTTGGGGAGACCTTGTTGAGCATCCTTGGCACGAGCCAGGCCCTCCCTGCGGGTCAGGGGCACGTCCACCCTCTGAACTCCAACTTCTCAGCCTGTCTCTGTCTTCCCTCACTTTTATCAAACGACTCCACCGATTGTT